CCGGTGCCAACTATATGCCGTATGATCGACTGAAACCGGCTGCGCGATAAAGTTCTGATCAAGTGGATATTTTATAGGGTGGGAAAAGAGGGAAGTGCTCATCAGAAGTGGGAGCGCGATACCTGGCCAGCATTGAAGGAAATCACCGAGAAGTACCCGGAAGCTGGCATCCACTTCCGAGGTATGATACCGGCCCAGAACTTGATCAGCATCCGAAGACCCTCTAACAGAATGTAGACACCTTGATCTACAACCGCAAGAAGGATCAAGAAACAGACACCGGAAGGTGGTTCTCGGAATTGACCCAGCCAAACCCGTGGTATAAGGATGTCGTGCTTGATGTATGTTTGAACTGTGAGATGGTGCCATAGACTGCCTGCAGACTGACATGATGATCATAGTTCAAAAACCTCCCTTCCGATCAATTGGCCCCCGGAATTGACAACGGCCAGGAGTTCGTATCTGTCTGTATCAACACCGCCGTCTACCTGCCGTGGTTGGTCGGTCAGTGCGTCAAGAACGGCGCCGTGTTCAAGCGAGCTGTCTTCAGGCATATCGCCGACGCAGCCAATGCCCACCACACCGGACAGAAGGCTGACGTGGTGGTCAACTGCACCGGCCTGTCGGCCAAGACTCTCGGTGGTGTTCTCGACGACAAGATGTATCCCGCTCGTGGCCAGATCGTCGTAGTTCGCAACGACCCCGGTCCCATGCTGTCGATATCCGGGACCGACGACGGAGAAGATGAGGCGTTGTACATTATGACTCGTGCTGCAGGTAAGTTCTTATGTGCTGGTTTTACTGTTTGACCGTTCGCTTATTGCTTCTAGGTGGCGGCACGATCCTCGGTGGCTCTTACCAGAAGCACAACTGGAATGGAATACCAGATATGAACCTTGCCAATCGCATCATGAAGCGTTGCGTCGACATCTGCCCCAATCTCGTTAAGGAGGGACAGGGAATTGAGGGGTTGGATATCATTCGCCACGGCGTTGGCCTGCGCCCACTGAGAGAAGGTGGCACTCGCATTGAAAAAGACAAGGTTGACGGTGTGGCCATCGTTCACAACTACGGTCATGGAGGATTTGGCTACCAGGCCTCCTTCGGCTGTGCATATACCGCTGTGTCTCTGGTCAAGGAGGTCCTGCAAAACAAATCTCGCTCTAAGCTGTGAAGAAACGCGTTGTATAGATCAATTGTTGTACAGTGTTCGGAAATTTAGCCTCGGCATGTAATATTGCAAAGTCTGGTTGGCCCGTACATGCAATCGTGACGTCAATTGATGATTGTTGAAACACTTAATTTGAGACTCAACACGAGAATAAGTCAACTCTATCATAATCATTTCATCAAATTTTCCACAATGTCAGCGCCTACGACCAAAGAAGCAGCAGAGAAAATTAACAAAATCCTGAATGAGTTCGGTGTACCTCCTCTACATGGCACAGTACTTGCCGACCCACAAAATGCTAGCCCCGAGATAGTGTTAGCGATGGTGCTGGACTCCATGATCAAAGCAAGGCCCATCTCTCACGAGTTGACACAGAGAACGATCAAAAAGCTAATCGAAGCCGACTACCATGACATCGACGTACTTTCCAAAAGTACATGGGAAGACCGAACAAAGGTCCTGCAAGAAGGAAGTTACAACCGGTATCGAGAGCAGTGCGCCACCAATCTCGGCGAGCTTGCCAAACTGGTTGTTGAGAGATACGGTACGTCCTCGCTTCTATCTGCAGGGCTGAATTTGCGATGTTATCCTGCACGTGGAAGTGGAGTCTGACGTCGTATGAGTACAGATGGGGATTTAAATAATCTCCTCAAGCAGGCAGCTGGCAAAATCGACAAAGCTAGAATATTGCTGAAGGAGGTCAGGGGCATGGGCGATTTGGCAGTGGAGGTCTTTTTCAACAATGTTCAAGGCATATGGCCAAGCATTGCTCCTTGTCTCGATTCGCGGAGCTTGAAGACTGCTGCTGAGATCGGGATTGGAACTGATTTGGGTAAAATATACAATGTGCTAGAGCGGGACCCAGTGCGTATGAGTCGCTTCGCCAATGGTCTCTCTGAAGTCCGACTGGAGAAAAGGCAGGATCTGATTGAGGAACTTTGACAATGCGTACTATAACCATGGGTGGCGATGAACCGGATATTGACCATGGGTCTTAAAGAGAAGAATGGCAAAATCATGGGTCTTTCCTTCACTTACAAGTATTCCAGCGCTTAATCTAAGATAATTGTATCTCCTTACTAGACTCATTTGTCAGGAGCTCTCAACAAAAAAAAGGCAATGTTAATTTGGCGTTCTTGTTCTAAGTAGTAGAAACATAGATATGGTGATTTTCATAGTTCTTCAACTCTCTTGTTTTTTTATCTCTCCTCTCTCTCTTCCTGCGGCCTGCCGCATTTTATCTCTGGATCTCCTCTGTTTTACGTCTCTAGCTCGGGGTTCCAGTATACTATAGGCTAATCTTAACGTTTACCATCAAGTCGCATCCACCGTTCGAGGTATCAATGATACCTAAGTGCCCTATGTCAAGAAATCAAGGAAACACTATACCGAATACAGCATAGCGCCCGCACTGGCCGGTGCCAGATCACGTGAGCTACCAGTGGCCTTGGCAGACCCGCTGCTTGCGACAGCGCAGCAGCTGTCGACGCCCTCATTTCCACTTTCCCCTGTTCTGCTTCATTCAAACACTAGCAAGCCTTTTGATCAAACGTGTGTTGCTTATTATAGCTTCCCTCAGACCCACTCTTCCATCTCAAAGGTGCGTTTCCCTTTGTCACCAAACCAGCAAACTGAGTTCCGAACTCTAGCGAACCTGACCTCCATCATCACTTGAGCGATTGGCGAGACCAAGCGGCATCCATATTCGCGTCAAAGCTAACTTGGCACCTTTGAAGACCCGATTTAGTCACCCGACACCGAATCTTCCTTTGTCGAAACTTGGCAGCCTAACGACCCGCCCTCCGCATTACTGATTCGCGAGCACCCAAGGATCACTTTCATCTCATAAATCCTTCAACGAAGCACACAATGGATTTCACAAACATCTTGTATGTTGGCTCTTCGTGGGAGATGATACATTTGTGCCAGGACTGATCCTATGCAGCCGTATTGTCAACATCGCTGTGGGCGTGTTTATGGTGCTCGGTGGCATCAGTAACTTCTTCACCGGCACCTGGAGTTCATTCATCCTGGGCGCGTATGCAGTTGTCTTCGGTCTAGGTAGGTCCCCACGATAATCCGAACTCGCAACGTCAATAGTCAACGCTAACATTATCCTAGTCGTTGGCGGACTGGAGTTCCTCCCTCACGTTCCGGACTACGCGTACCGTTATGCGTCGTTCCTCTTTTCATTCCTCGGCCGTGGTGTCTGTAAGTTAGACTTTTGCATGCCTGCAGATCCGAGGGGGAATTCGGTGGCTAATCACTTGCGCCAACAGTCTACATCTTTATCGGTTCCATCCTGCTGCACGACAACGTGTTGCGCATCATTGATGGTTCGGTGATTGCCTTCATCGGTCTCGGATACGTCGCGCTGGAGTTCATTCCATCTATCGAGCCTCCTTCGAACATGCGCGAATCTGACCAGGGCTGGGGTGCCGAGCAGGTCTAAATTGCCGCTTGAGTAGGTGGCGATGACGATCTTCTGTCGCATTGACACTGGTGGGATACTGTCTGTTCCGGCAGTTTCCTCCATCATGTGGTATGCGATGTTCGATGAGCGCAATGATCTTGGGATGTCCTTGATCTGAATTTGATCGAAGGATGTCATTATAAAGAAGAGAATGTGAAGCGGAGAATGGGCGATTTTGCTGGGTCTCGGATATTTTTGTTGATACCAGCGTAAAGGGACAGAGACACGTGTACTATATTTGGACGTGGGCTAGCATTATCTAGCAATATTGGCATGCTCTACGGAGTAATGATTGATCGATTTCTTATTGGAGAAGCCGGTGAGAGATCATCTGATAAATAAAGGAACTAGTGCAGGGACTTCTTGGCTGTGGAGACTGGCATATGTACCGACCACACGGAGATTATGATGTATTACTCCGTGGTTGGGGCCAAGACTACGGTCCTAGATTTACTCCGTATCCCAAAGTCCAGCGTGGCCATATCGCTTCGGCTTGTTCCATCTCCGAGCAGCCAATCGGAATCGCTAGAGTGCTGATGACAAGATTAGTCAGCTGCGTGCGACCAATCCGAGGCGCTACATATGTGATTGCCTACCAGGGCCCCACCGCAACCTCACTTGGGGATGTGTAATTCCCACTCTTTCCACTTTTACCACCGTTTCCCACCTTTCCACTGTAATTTTTCACTTTCCAACTAAACTTCATCAGGCCATCCGGTGGAGTCAACATGCAATCCTGGGGGAACATAGAATCATGCAGAACCGCCAGAGATTTCCTTGGGATTAGGATAGCGAAACCCCTAGGCAAAAAAGTACGCCGTAAAATAGAACATGATTAGATGAGATTGATGCGATCCTCGGCTAACGATAGATAAAGTGTGATAGATTGATATGCCGTAGATCCTCCCCTTCCACCTTAGATCGATAAACCCCAACCCTCCCTTTCCTCGGCGATAAGCAATTCGGTCTCGCCTCTTTGTTCTCGGTTTCTCTCCTTTTCCTTTTAATCTTTTTTAGGGTTTCCCACTTATCTTTGACATCTCTTCACACATCCCTCGAACTTCCCCTTATCGCTCCCATCACATCTTGTGTGCCCACTTGCAGTGACGCGGAGTGATCACCATCTTGCAGCTCCCTACCCTTTTAGCCAATCCCTGCCTCGCTAATCGTCCTTTTGCATCGGGCCACCGTCCCCGAACGAAACCGTCCCCCACGATCGCTTGCCAGTCAGACCAGGCCCTGTGGTGTGCTGTCAATTGTCGCAATCACCATCACCTGACTGTTCCACGCCGTCGGGTCGCCACTATTCCATACAGGCCGCTCCATACCTTTTGGTGGCGGGTTAACTACTTTCATCTACTCGACCACTCGATTTCCTAACTCCTGGGTGGCAGCATCCGACTTCACTTCTTTTCGATCGCGATCCCGAGTCATCGTCCGCCCTGCGATTCCCCGAGCCTGCAGCATCGTGGCTGCATATCTGCCTGCTGGACTGACTTTCCCATATTTCTCCAACCCGTCAGCTTGACCGACATTTGGTTTTTGAGTGATACGGTGCATTCTGCTCTCGACTGTGGTGCGACATCGCCCTCACATCCTAGGATTCTCACCCCTTCGTATTTGCCGTTTCGTTCATATTCGATCCTCCCGTTCTGAGAATCACGGCCGAAGGATTCCTGGCCCGGATCACATCCTGTAATGTTAGCGTCCATCCCACAAATGGAAGCGCTTCACTCTTTACCCCGGAATCAGGACGTTCCAATGCGACAACCGTCCGCGGAGGATTTGGATGCTGCGCAGCAGTTGATCTCCTCGGCACAAGCAGGTCGTGAACATCTAGCAGATCACTACCGGGAGGATGGCATGGGGCAAGGATCGAGTCAATCTGGATCAAATCAATGGATTGGACACAACGAAATCCCGAGCGAGAAAACATCCCCCGGCAGCCAAAAAGACACAACTTTCCTAGGGCATTCATGCAGGTGAGTTTCGACTGGGCCTCGATTGATACTTGGGTTATGAAGACTGACCCCATCTCTTTTGTTCAGTAATTGCGGCACAAAAAGCACTCCTCTTTGGCGTCGTTCTCCCACGGGAGCGATGATCTGCAATGCCTGCGGTCTCTACCTCAAAGCTCGCAATGTCGCTCGCCCCACGAAACGAAATCGGATGCAATCAGAAGGTGCCGAGAAGCCACCGCCTCCTACGCGCTCTCACTGCGGCGGTTCTTCGGAAGGAGGTTGCAAGGGGTCATGCCCTGGTGGTGGGAGTTGTAATGGCACCGGTGGCGCAGAAGGATGCGATGGATGCCCGGCATACAACAACCGGATATACAAGTCCGCCCCCCGGGGAGCGGCTGCCATCCAATCTTCGTGGGGCCGTAACTCAGCACAAGACCTTGAGCCTGTGACGCAAGAGGAGCCACCGGTGAAGGCCTCTGCTTCTGCCGATGGCACTAATACCTTGGTTGCTTGTCAAAATTGCGGCACGACTGTGACTCCTCTGTGGAGGCGCGATGAACAGGGCCACCCTATTTGCAACGCTTGTGGTAAGTTTGAGTTTCATATAGACTTGATGATCTGATTTCTCTAACACAAGGCAGGATTGTATTATAAGCTCCATGGATGCTATCGCCCCACCAACATGAAAAAGTCCATCATCAAACGTCGCAAACGGGTTGTTCCCGCCCTACGAGATCAGTCTCCCACCGCTGCTACCCTTTCCTCCAATGGCTCATCGGCATCCCCGGAGGCATCACCTGCTGCCCTGGCGCATGGCCATGATGATCACTATCGATATATGAGCAACGAGCCTACGGATCACTACCCGATGATGCCTGGAAAATCCGAAGACGCACCTCGAGTTTTACATTTTGCGCCACCGCCGGTTGATTTCACTGGTTACAATGTTTCATCCGTGCCTCTTGCACATGGTCTCTCCATCTCTCACGGCCTACCTAAACCTTTGGGGGTGGAGCGGCTGGGACATTCGCCCGCGCCTCAGTACGGGCGACGGTCCGCCTCTCCAAATTCCCTCAACCTCCCCAAGAAACGAACATTGGCCGAGACTGCGACAGAGGCTCTACCAGCTCCATCTACATTGGAAGCAGGATCAAACCAACTGCCTCCGATTATGTCTTCGGCCAATCCTACTCCCCCCGGTCGTCTCAGCTCTATCTCGTCTATTCTGAACCAATCAGATGTTCGGGGCGAGCCTCGCTCGGATACCAATCTGGGACGTCCACCTCCTATTCACCATTCTATCTCCCCTTCACCTCACCCGTCGCAGCCTTTGCCTGGCATTGCATCTCTTGGAGACTCGGTTGATCGCCGTGCCCGACTTGAACGCGAAGCTGAGCAGATGCGCGAGATGCTCAGAGCAAAGGAGCGCGAGCTGGCAGAGATGAGACGATAGATTCGACGCCCGCCCAAGCAATGATGAAAATAATGATATTCAGATAATGTTTTGCTAATCGGTGTTTCTCGTGAGATCAACGGCGCACAAAGATACCACTCACGTTACTGGGATATCCTGTCCCTGGCTGTGTTATTATTCTTAAAAAAGTGTGTCAAATGAATTGTATTTTAATATGAAATCGATGTCTATTTCCACGTGTTCCTCAATGCCTACAGGTAGATGCTTGAACTTCATGAAGACCGATGTCATAATGATCCAATGTCCAAATCCAACCCCAATCAACTCAATTGGAAATATATCTAATACGCTCTAAACAATTCCAATTTCAATTCTTCAAACTGACCTTCTCTACTATGTCCACTCCAAAATCCTTCACTCTTACCTTCACAGGCGACGTAATGCTCGGCCGCCTGATCGACCAACTAATGCCAAAGCACGTCACCAACGAGCAGGATGAACGCGTCGTCAAAACTTTCATAGAAGCCCATCCAACCTTTTTCTCAAAAGGAAACTACACACCCTCCTCGCCATGGGGCACAGCCCTCCGCATCCTCCACTCCTCGACCCTAGCCTGCATCAACCTCGAAACAGCCGTGACAACAGCCCCAACCCCATGGCCCAACAAGGCATTCAACTACCGCATGCACCCAGCAAACCTAGGCCCAATCCTACACGCCGGCGGTATCGACTACGCCAGCCTCGCCAATAACCACACCCTCGACTTCGGCATCTCGGGTCTCACCGAGACCGTGCAAACACTACAATCGGCAAATATCGCCCACGCAGGCACGGGCGAAACAGCCGACGATGCGCGCAAGCCAGCAGTGCTACATCTGCCCAGGGCCTCAGAGCCCGTAGACCAAAGCCAACACCGCCACGCAGTGCATATATACTCAGCCGCCGACCACCCGCACGCATGGATCAGCGTGCCAGGATTCAATCTGTTCGACTACACGCGCGACACGCGCGCTCGGCTGCGTGAAATGCTCGTTGAGGCCGAGGCGAGCAAGCCTGCGTTGAAGGTGTTTTCGGTGCACTGGGGGCCGAATTATGCTTGGCATCCGGATGCGCGAGTTACGTCGCTTGCGCATTTCTTGGTTGATGAGTGTGGAGTTGATATTGTGCATGGGCATTCGTCGCATCATGTTCAGGGCGTGGAGGTTTATCGTGGGAAGCTTATTATCTACGGTTGTGGGGACTTTGTGGATGATTATGCTTTGAATAAGGAGTATAGGAATGATCTTGGGGCTTTGTGGAGGGTTGTTGTTCGGGAGAAAGGTGGTGGTGGGCTTGGGTTGGAGAGGTTAGAGATCTTCCCTACGCGTGTTGAGAGGTTTCAGGCTCGTTTGTTGGATTCTGGAGATGCGGATCATGGGTGGGTTAGCCAGAAGATCCGCGAGCTTAGTGGGAATTTGGGGACTGCTGTTAATGCGGAGCTTGGGAAGGAAGGGGAGGTCGTTGTTGAGTTGTCTGGAGAGTAGATTGAGAGGGTATATTGGATATGACATATACGGCCACAATAAAAGGGGCCAAATACTGTTCCACTCTGGGATTTTCAGCCTCCGAAGTAGAAGTGATTGTGATGCAATGAATCTATGAGGTCGATCTCGACTAGCCACCTTCAGATGCTTACCATTCTATTGAATCACATGTTATATACGGAAAAGTCAATTTGAACATTTCACAACTTTTCCACCAGCCATATTCTATATTCTAGCTAGGGGTTGACGCCAGAATCGTATATTGTATCCGGGGGACTGCACTCAAGAACAAAATCTGTAGCCTTTCTTGGTCAATCGGCTTGTCCGTGCATCTCAAAATATCCCGAGGCAGCGGATATGCAAGTGACGCAGCTGTGGACAGCGTCTAGCAGTACATAATACTCCGTAGCCAGTCACTTTGCAGAGTCATGACAAGTTCTGTGCGCTGGTTCATTTCATGGCTCTTTTGCGTGGAGGTCATCCACTTCATTATTGAACTATGGCGATCATTGCTTTATTTCACAACTCAGGGACTGCAAAAGAAGATACTCCCGAGACCATCTATGGATGTCTGATGGCTGACTTGTAATGTGATCTCATAGCAAAGGAAACAGTAGAGTGAATGACAAACAGAAAACCACAAAATATTCCAGCATAGAATACGGAGTACGGAGTACTGAATACTGAAGTACAAGACTTGAATAGTTCTGGAGATCAAAATAAAGGAGCGACCTTGGAATAAAGGGGACATACCCTAACCGGATTAGGAAATGGCGCGGGAGATCCTCTGTCGATCCTCTGTCGATCGTACTTCTCCCTTTTCTTTCCCTTTTTCTCCGTACCGAGGTCCTTTTTGTCCAATGTCGATCATGAATTGTTTCTAATGCATATGCTCTACTTTGTCTCTCGCAATACACGTAGAATGTCTCGACAATTCATACCTATGCACACAACACGGCCAGGCCTCAGGGTCATCTAGCTTGCAACACAATATTATTAGAATGACGGCACTACGCCAATGCAACCCCACCTTGCACTAAATTTTCTTCAGGAAAATGACATCTGCACCGTATACCCACCCAAGTGGGTCCTATGTACCGACGCAGAGCCCCGTTCTCAACGTCCATACCCAACGAGGAAACTTGAAATGATAGCTGGGGTTTCCTATAACGGAATTAGCAGACACACGTCAATCCTGACCCCTTTCAGTAAACCCCTCACAACAGTTCGGCGGGAATACCTGCCCATGGCGGAGATTCGGCGACCAGGTTCCCGCGCCAAACGCTTGTGTGGAAGTTTTGTCTGCAGAGTACAAGCCCCCACTATACACGGCATATACTGGACCTATCGCTTCATCGACTAAAGCTTTCTAGCGACCTAGATTGGAACATAGGACCGCCGGCTGATGCGGCGCTATTGAGAGAGACTACTCGAAATAGGGGTGTTTCCTATGAATCGACTACCCAGATTGGGCAATGCCACGTGGAAATGCTTCTCCGCGCTTTGTGCAGACAATGATTGGCATTGACAACATGCTCAAAGGAGTTTGTCCCTGCTCCCTGTCTCTGTAACTTGTCTCCGAGAAGGATTGTTTTCTATTCGGATATCACTCACATTCCTAGCACTCTCGATCCCTATTACAGTGCAGTGAGCTGCATTACACTTCCGCTACACTCGGCATGATCAATTGAACTATCTGGAAATAGCCACGAGCTCATTTTACAACTACTCTCGCTATATTTGGTCCTTGACTTCGATATTCAATATGCACGGTTCAATTCACACATTGCTTCCTCGAGAGGATGATGATGGTGGGGCCTCTCATGGCCGACGGGCATTGGTGGTAACGGCAGTCCTAACCGCCATTTCAATTCTCATTGTCGGAATGCGATTGTATGCACGATTTGGATTGATGAAAATGACTGGTCGTGAAGATTTGGCTATTCTGGTCTCTTTGGTATGCCTCTTGAAGCCACATCTAGAGTTAGATGAGCAGCTCGCTAATACAACATATGTTCAGATATTTTCCATTATCTATCTTGCACTCGTCGCTGCCCGTACGTTCATAGTGCAGAGGTGAATTCAGAAACCACCCCACTAATATAGATGATAGAACTACATTATAAAATGGGTGTCCACTCGGCACTTCTTTCCAGTCATGTCTTACAGCAACAACTCAAGGTACACTTTATTCTTCACTTCTTTTCTTTGCTAGTGTAAACTAACCTGACTTTCATCTCAGTGTTTGTGGGCTGCAATCCCCATGTACAATGCCAGCTTGGCATTCAGCAAATTCTCCATACTCCTCCAGTATCTACGCATCTTCCCCGCCAAAAAATTCCGCCTCGCCTGTTATGTCATAATAGCAATCGTGGCTACCTACTCGTCGTGGGCCATTGTGAGCGGCTTCGTGGACTGTGTCCCCGTGGCGAAATTTTGGAACAAGGACTTGCCAGGCAGCTGTCTCAGCTTCGAGGCTGTCTGGTTCTTCAATGCTTCTATGAATATTGCAACCGATATAGCACTACTAGTCTTGCCGATGCCGCTACTTTCCAAGCTACAGCTGCCCCGCATGCAGAAAATCGCCTTAATGGGTGTCTTTGCCATGGGTCTCTTGGTTGTAGTCACCAGCATTCTCCGCCTATCTAGTTTACGTGAAGTAGCAAAAAGCCCCGATACTTCCTGTATGTCATCTTCTTGTCCTCTCCAATCGACTATACAAAAGCTAACCTACCGAACAGACAGCAACGTCGCAGCCGCCTATTGGACCGCTGCAGAATGCAACGTCGCCATCATGTGCTCCTGTCTCCCATTCTTGCGACCCATCATCAGCCGCATCTTCCCTAAGCTGCTTTCTGGAGGTAGCTCGAATCCCTATGCCAATAAATCCAAAGGGACAAACCTCACGGGAACTCGCGCTCTGACACGCCATTCTCAACTGTTTACTTATAACCACAATAAGGACTATGACATGTATTCGATCAATGTTAAGCCTGGTGACCACTCCAGTCACATTTCGCTCGGCGGTATCGAGGTTACCACCGAGATGAGCATGAGCATTATGCAGGAGGCAACTCCGAAGGATAGTACCAGTGAGCATAAGGTAGTTATGGATGCTTGATGTTTTTTTTTCTGTTTAGTTTCGATACATATATTCTTTATTTTTGTTTAATATTTACGATCTCATTGAGGCGGCATACTTCGGCGGCAACATGTCTTTTTTGGGCTCAGTATTTTGTTGTATATATTTGGGGGACGGGTGGTTAAATGACAAGTTTTTCTTTTTATTATTTGCATATACTGAGCTCTAGTAGTATGATAAAACGATTTTGGTCACTGCAAAATCAGATATGGCTTTTAGAGCGGAAGGGGTAATATCTAAGGCATGATCTAAGACATGTATTTCTAATTAAAATGACATGGTAATATCCAAATCAAGTAACGTGCTCCTTCTCCTCCTCCTTCGGAATTCGGACCCAAACAATCGTGATCAACGCAGCGAGCAACTGCGCCGCGAGGCCAAACCACCAAATAGCACGCAGCCCATCAAGACCAATTTCCCCAGACGGGCCTTTATCAACACGGGTCCCAATAGCATCGGCAACACTAGTCAGAATCGCTGACGAGAGGTTCTGGTTGGTAACCAACAAAGCACCCGCACTCCCCTGATAGGACCGTTCAACATTACTAGTAATGAAGATTGAAGCCGCCGCGAAAGCAAGATCTGGCCCGAATGTTACCAGAATAAGACCCGGGAACGAAAGCGCCCAGTAACTGGTATTGGCAGTCTGCGGCAGGAAAAACGCCGGTCCTAACGTGAAGGCCAGCATAGATACCGCGTAAATATAGTGACCCGGAACGAGGTGTAAAGTGCGGGCAACGATCAATGTCGCCAGGACACCGACTAGCGCGTTGGGAATATTATACAGCGCCGTAATAATGGGACTAGCGTGTTGGATACGCAGCCAGAACTGAATGGCGTAGAACTGCCAGCAGCCGAAGAAGGACCCGAAGCCAAGGAAGTATGCGATCATCAACGGAGTGAAGCCCGGTGTGCGCCAGAGGCGGTTAGGGATGAGAGGGCGAACTGCGTTGCGCTCGGCGAAGAAGAGGCCGATGAAGAGCCCAAAGCTCACGATGATTAAAACATACGTGTAAGGGGACCAGGATGCCACGGGGCCTTGCGTTAGCCCGAACAAAAGGCACACGCAACCGCCGGCCGCGCAGAAGCCGCCGATGTAGTCGAATTGCTTGATCGACGGGGCTTCCTTACCGGATGCATCTGCCATGGGTCGGAGGGGTGGAATAGCGAGCCAGGCAGCCACACACAAGATCACGGAGAGAATGGCGTTTGAGCCAAAGATCCACGGGAGGTGTCGGGACAAGGCTCCGCCTTGGATTGCGCCGAGGGAGAACCCGAGCGGGGCGGTAGCGGCCATTGCGGAGAACACGCGGTTTTTGCGAATACCCGGTGTATAGACGCGGCCGAGGATGCTCATGCTTCCCGAGACAAGGACGCCGATGGAGAGACCCTGCATGGCGCGCACGATGAAGAATAGGACGCAGCGAGATGGCTGGAGGCTGAATGCGCCGATTAGGTTCCATATGGCGAGCCAGGCGAAGGCTCCGACCATCAGGAGCTTTGGTGGCAGTAGGTCTGTTAGCGAGCCGGAGATGATTACCGATAGGCCGTTGGCTGTGTTGAAGGCGCCGATGACCCAGGGAAGCTCGGCGTTGGTGATGCCGAGGGCTGCTTTGATTTGTTCTTGTGGGGCGAGCACGTCGCCCAGCAGGAAGGAGAAGAGCATTAGACCTACTGAGCAGACGAAGATCAAGATGAGCTCGGCTGTGAAGCTTGAAAGCTCGGGTGGGATGCCTTGCTTGCTGCGAATTGGAGATCCCGATTCTTCATCGGTACCGGGATGAGGACGGGATACCGAGTCTGGAAGTTTTCTGTTCTTCATGTTGCCGGTTGTATCGAGGGCGTAACTCTCGATTTCACGATTGAGGTCATTGATGGAGAGGTCTTGGAGGGCGATTTTGTCCACGATCTTGTGGCCCATCAGTGGATCGGGGGTTTGTGCCCCGGTTGCTGGTGTTGAGTATGTCCTTGTGTAGGACATTGAGGACCGGCTGGATGCTGGCGCTGAGTCTCCTCCATCTTGGCCTTGTGGAGGGGTAATATTTAGATCCTGAGACCCGCTGGCCTGGGGGTCTGCACCCGCATGCGGTTCATTTGACATTTTTCAACTTGTCAGAGACACGATAGTTCTAAGGTTACTATGAGTGATCTGAGGCGTTGAAGAAGAGAAGAAAATTATTCAGAAGAAGGCGAAAAAAGGCTAAATTTGTGATCAGATGGAGTGGAGTTGGTGGAGTTTTCGATTTTATCCACAAAGATAAGGTCAGGCACCTACTTTGTACTACAAAGTATAGACGATGATCGATGTATAACGTCAACAGCGTACAATCTACAATGTATCTCCTGCACATCGATATTTCATGACATCGTGGTGATCGGAATCCCTTGCGGAAGATTGCGTATACTCTTAAATAGTGGATCTAGTTTGTGTTTCAAGAACGACAGGTATGTATATAGTCATGTCTACATAGTTACACTTCTTTCTAGCAATTTCTTCTCGGCCACCAAGGTTTACAGATAGTTATTGCCTTGAGATCCTCTATTCGCTTCTATCTAAAAATGACAATGCCGCAATCATTTGCAAGATACAAGATCTACCCCCGAGATTATGTCTGGAATGCTGAATGCCACTAGAGAATGAATTGCGAATCATATGTATATCACTGTCGTCAGCCTTGATCATCTGCAATTGACTTGATAATATAATTTGATGCCCAACCTCTTTCTATAGATTTTTCAACCAATCGGATGCACGGCATGGCGGAATATGAATTCCGTGGCCGAAGGTACACCACGGGGCCTTGCATCAGGCTAATATTCGGTTATTGTCAGACCGCTATTCCCGAGCTGATCGGGGAGACTCGTAAAAAGCCCGAGAGACCCGAAATCTCAGCATTATGAAATAGAAGCTAGAGTAGGTAAATCCCCAAGGCTAACTAACGGGAAGTAGCGAACTTGTTAACTATAGCGCTGTATATGGAGTACTGGTGGTGTCAAATATGCGCCTGCTTCCTGATTGGCTAAACGTTCTTACTAATCAGGCACAACTCCCCGAGGTCCTGGAATTTATACCAGAGCCGAACCTGGTTGTGCCTGTCCATGTGACGATCATTGAGGTTTCTGTGAGGTTTCTTCTGATCTGCACTTGATCTTCAGGGTCTCAAACTCTATGAACTTGGATGTTCGACTAAGCTTTGTTGATCAGGATCACCTTACATGCAGACACGTCATATCGAGCATGCAGATCCTCCTTGCTGAGGTAGGGTTGGACTACGCAGTGCGGCCTACTATTGAGATTTGCACAATTGTCTTGAAACCGAAAATCCAAGTCATTGCTCTTTCATTCGTAAATGCTAGATTGCTAGATTGCTAGATTAATATGCATGCATCTATATGTGCTTATTTGCCGAACACCTTGTAGCGGCCCTCGATAGGAGCGAAGGCCTTCTCACCGGGTCCAGAGTTGGGAACACCGAAGACCAGCTGGGCGTCCAACTTCCATGAGGCGGGGATGTCCCAAGTCTTGGCAATCTGCTCATCGATGAGGGGGCTATAGTGCTGAAGGTTGGCGCCGAAGCCCTCAGACTGAAGTGCAGTCCAGACTTGGTGATAGTTAGTTTCCAACCCACTTGACTACCCAAAGACCGAAGAAGAGCACATACCAAGGTACTGAGACATAGCATTCGACTCCAGGGCAAAGGGGTCGAACTTGTCGGCGTAGATCGCGAATTTCTCCTTGATAGAAGCGAGCGACTCATAGTCGACAAAGAAAAGGACCTGGGTTAATGGGTAAGCTGGTGATTCGCCATTTTGACACGGAATGGTGTCGTATTGGGGAGGGCAACCATACAGTTCCATAGGCAGCACGGAAGGCATTCAGCTTGGGCTTGGTGGAATTCTCGAAGGTTTCCTTGGGGACGTGGCCAGCAGCGACCAGACCCTCCAGGGCATTAAGGGCGATATCCCACACCTTCTTGTGCTCCTCCTTCAGCAGGAGGACAATACGGGAGGTCTGAGTGTTGAAAGAGCTGGGAACGTGGAGAACGGCGTCCTGAACAATGCGATCAATGACATCGTCAGAGACGGGGCTCTCGCCCTTAAGGTCGTAGTATGTGCGGCGAGCCTTCACCAACTCGAAAAGAGTGGAAGTAGCCGCGTTCTTGAATTCGGGTTGAGTGGAGCCCATTTTGAAAGTGTTGAGGGTAGATAGGTGTATTAGTAGCGGGGTGAAGTGATATAGAGCGATGCCGAGAAGGAAAAACAGCAGGTGAGCTGGGATGGGGGCTTTATACATAATGTGGATTGCGAATCCCTAAATCCATAAATCCATAAATCCACGTCGTTTTTCTATCACTTTCTCCATCCCGCCATCTCTAGGGCTCCATCTCGGAGTAAACTGGCCAATCACAGCCAATCAGAGTGCCGCACCCACCTCGGACGGAATTGACAAATCTCCGATCTCATTAATCAGCAGAGGCATTGTGGATTATCAATGCGTTACCAAGCATCTTTTCTATTTTTAACAACCCCCGGCGGAATTTATTCCTACAGCATACGATAATTGTAAATCAACTCCTCAGATTCGAACTATTCTGTTCCTGAAATCCACCGCATCATATGGTTCATATCCAAATGGCAATATCCATGTTGGTCAACATATTGACAACTCAAGTTCAAATCCAGAACATGGAGCCAACTACCATTCCACACATCAATCCCACGGGAGCAGCCGTCTTGACTCCGTGGTTTTTCATCGCTATTGGGACAGTGACAGTGGCCCTAGCAGTCTGACTTCCTCCGCAGTCACATTCACAGTGACACGGAATAGAGCTAGCAAGAATAGTCACCGTCACTGTTGTGCCATTGCCGAAATAAGTTGGTGCACCAGTTGTCATGGCTGTCGAATTCAGGAACCCGACTGAGGCTAAGCTGAGGGGATCAGCGGTCGCGGTCGCTGTCGCAGGTGCAGTCAAACTTGCGTCACTAGTTGAAACATGAGAATTGGCAGAAGCTTTGGTTTCAGCCGCGGTAGAAGGCACGGAGAAGTCTCCAGTGTCTGTCACGATCAAGGTTGCTGGGAAAATTCCGAGGGTAGAATCGTCGCCCGTGGCTGGAACGACCACTGTGGCCGATATGATAGAGCTAGTTTCGTGCAAGGACTTTGTTTCTGTGCATGACGCGCTTGTAGGTGTCGGGGAGCCCATCAGGGTGCAACCTGAGGTGAAGTCGAATCTGTAGCCGTTGGCAATCATGTCGTATGCTATATACACAAGTCAGTATGATGTCCTGTTTGGGGGGTTGCTATGTTCTTAATTCTTACTGTTAGGTCCGTAGATAACGGTCAGGTCTGGAGTAAATCTGTGGCAGGCTGTTTGGTCCGAGAGACAGTTGATTCCGTAGGTTGTTGTTCCATCTTTCTGTATTGGTTGTTAATGATGAATCACGGTAGAAGCAGACAAGATACATACGGCGCCTATGGCCTTGCCTCCATAGCCCTGGAAGTAATCAGGTGCATCCGTGATCCATGGGATCGTCTGTCTGTTGTTAGTTTCTTTGGTATCATGGTGATTTTGGGGAAGGTAAACAAACAATTGTCGCGTCTTGGTTGGCAAGCCCGAGAGCAACCCAACATAGTTGGATCACCAACGCGAGAAGATATCTGAATAACATTCTGTGTGTAGATTACCGAAGAGATCTCGAGAAGCGTTCCTTGGAGAAGATAGTTTTCAGTAGAAGAGGTTTGTTGACACGCGAGGCTGTAAATGGAAACCAATGCAGGTGCAAGACAATGTAATATAAACAATCGAGGAATATGAATGGAAAGAACAATGGACCAACCACAGTATTGGAAAGAGCGAATGACAAGCTGGATGCCTGGCCAGCAAGGCATGTATTTGCTTATTTAGTATACATAGTAGAGTTCTAGGAAAGGTCTTAGCAACACAGCCCATTCTTGTAGTAAACGTCACTTTATATTTAGGATCCAGATTTCAATATACCCAAAACTATGGTCCCTAGGACAGAAATATTTCTCTCGGCACCAAATAAAGCTTTACTGCAAGTCTCTAGGTGCATCAAGATGAGATCAATATCCACTATAAACGAAATAGTAACTCCAACAAAAACAGAGTGGGTCCCTCATCCCTCTGGAGAAATCGGCAAAGGATGTTATCATACAACAGCGTGGATTGCAGAAAGAGATAGATCGGTGAATAGTAAAGTCGCGGCGAAGCTGAAGATGCAGTCGGGGAACTTCTGCGGTATCTACTGGCCATAAACGACTACTTCGAGCTTCTTTGGAGAAGGGGAAGACGATCGTAGATTTTAGGTACATTGGTTAGGAAGTAAGCCACGTATCTATCTGAGTTCAATGATAGTATGTGCTTGAGATATTAGCATCTCCTCGAGCTGGGTTAGCTCGGGTAGAAACTTAGGGATATCCCCAGGGTCCATAAAAGCTAACCAAACAAGTCCTCCATTTTATCATCCTCGTCGACGGCCTCAAGAGGGGGGCTATCAGTGGATTTCTCTTGCTGTTGGGATTGGCATGAGCTCATCTTTAAGTGCGCAGGGGACATCACAGCGGCACGGCAGAATATGTGAACAAGAAGTCCAAATGGCCTGGAAATGCTGCACGAATAGAAATCCAAAACGTGCGTTGACCACTGATATATATTAGATGAGATAATAGCTAACACGAATTTAGAACAACGTACCTTGGAGTCATTTGAAATCTTAAGGAAGCGGAAAGTCTTCCCAGTGGTTGCAAGCCCATATATGGTGCAGTCCTGCTTATGAAGACTCTTCCTCTCTCGGTGTATGCAGCCTATTGAATCAGTTAGCGTCCCTGCCCAGGTGGTTTACTATAATGGATATTATCGACCACTTACCCATATAGCCTAGGGCTTGGACTACTCCCGACTCCGAATCCATCTTCTTAGCTTCCACAATAACAACATTCAAAGCAATCTCTTCAGTTTCACCGTACCAGACTCCGTAGTCTGTCCGTGCTGAGAGCATTACTAACTTCCCCTTCAATCGTACCGGCCCATGAGTGTACGGAAGCTCTCTCTGGACGTTGATCGGGCGTGCAGTGGGTGTGCGCTTTGCTGCGATTGAATGGGCATTGAGTAGCAGGGCGTCGATGGTCCAGCGCACAGTGGCTTCCGTGGAGGGCGATCGGTTCGATGCTTCATCGATCAACTTCAGATACTCCACTGCAAAATGTTAGCTCTGTGATACCTTGATCTTGATAATACGATACTCAGGAGTCGTGGGGGAGTAATAGGAGTAACCTGCTCAAGCTCTTTGTCTCTTCGGTCCAGACGAAGTTTCAACGCATTCTCGACATCTTTGGTCTCAAGGCTGGAAATGGCAACTGTTGGATACTTCTCCAGAGCGGTCTCGATCTCCTTTGCCGTCCTTTGCAGGAGAGCCTTGTCCACCTTTTCATCCATGACATCAACCAGCAAGACCCATGCCTTCCTGAGTAGGGATGGCTTCTTCTCGCCGCCGTCAGCATTGGCTGTTTTGCTGTATTTAGTCATTTGGACAAGTAGGCACTATGTGCATAAGTGGAATCAAGAGTGGTTAAGGAAGAAGATCCTTTGGCAGGGTAGAAATTTGATGAGATGAGTTTCTGAGGGGGGTCTGTCTGTGTTAAGAAGGGAAGGAAAGCAAAACCATGGGTCCTGCCCGACGAAGGAAAAGAAAACGAAAAAATTGGCGTAAGATATAGTATGACACCACATGATTATGTTAATGACCACGAAAGCGAGGCCCAAGCAAGGATCTCCTTTGCCAGTGTCTCATCTAGCTCCTTGGGCATCTTGGGTAGCTCGGGCGTGGCGGTTTGCTGGATTGCTGTATGAGCAAGAAGATATTGTCCATATTCAACTTCGCGAGATGTGACCCGTTTTGGTAATCCGAGCGCATATCCATGAGCAACCTTGGGATGGTTTCCCAGCTGAGTGCATCATTTCCTCTTGAAACAAATAGTTAAGCAAAAACACATTACTTTTTGCTCTTGTTCCATCGCCAGCATTCTATAGAATGTGAGCTAGAATATCCAGCTATCTAAGTTATATCAACAGTGATTGTCTTTATCATCACGTTACCATTTACATTAAGCGAGCCTCTGTGGTTGTTTGTCTCATTTGTGAATAGTGGCATAAACCGACCGCCCTTAGGATACCTATAAGAAGGTGGCCCTGCCCCCAGAACTTCTTCTTCTTTTCTTTCTTCTTCAGCTCTCTTTGCCTCTGGCTTAGATCAAGTGTAGTATCTGTTCTTACCAGTTTAATCTCTGGTAGTTCTGCATTGCAGAACGTCATGATTATTCTAATATTTGGACCTCGCGACTTGGCCTCTGTGCTTGCACACGCCTCGTTGCACAGTGTCACTGGGCTTACACTACCCCCGGTCGAAGCGAACTCCTTTTCATCAACTATTCGGCTTGTCCGGGCGCTTGGAGAAGATGAGGTGTTTGTTCATTATATCGTAAGTGACCCATTTGGGTTTAGCGTTGATAGCACCTACCTACAATTTGTATGTAAACTACTAATAAAATTAAGTCCCTTTTGTCATATCATTATTAACTGCTTAACCAACTGATTTATCGTCAACTACTTTAGCAACCGCTTGAGAAACTGCTTGAGAAACTGCTTGAGAAACTGCTTTAGTAACTAGCACGTAATAGAAAGTATCGTCTAGCTAGATTAGGCCTAGTCTATATTTATTCTGCCGGTTGGATTATTCTGCTAAAGTTAGCCGATGACATTTCACTTGATTCTAATGATTTTGGAGCCCAAATAATAGAAATCCTCCCCATTTTTCAAAGTGCGTAAGCCTGGCTCACGACGAAGTGGTGCGGCTTGCAGTACATGTAGCAAAGTCCCTGAGCGTTCACCAACTCATCGCCCGCGAGGCCATGGGTTATTGAGAGCACTGTGTGCCTAGAATCCAGGCTGGTCTTCATCCTCTCCAATCACGGGTGCAGTGTTACGATCCAGTCGTCATACTCCTATTTGCTTGATTGTTTGTCTGCTAGTTTGCATTAGCTAGATTGTTTGCTAGACAGAAGTTTGCATTGTTTACAAAGCGGTCAGGACTCAGCTATAAGAACTAGCTGTCTCCCACTTTGCAACTTGCTTCTTCTTTCTCTCCCTATTTTAGTTATTCTGAATTCAATGCATTCTTCTCTCTTGCAAAACCCGGCACGTCACATGCAGGGAATTTTTTGGAGAAAGACTCCATGGTTGATTGTGGTGATATTGAATGTGAGTGCTGAGGAACCGCTTGAAGTGGTATATAAGAGGGCCGAATGTGAAGAATAAAAGATAATCTCTAACAATGGGAGATCTCTGCACAAAACAATAACACGCCCCTACGCAGGCAGCTATTTAACCTCCTCTGCTCTCTCTTCTCAACTTAGCCTCGTTCACTCTCTCTTTTCAATCAACCTTGACTCCTATCTCATCTTGACTCAATTGTCTCATATCCCAACATCATGCCACAGACACTCCTACTAACACAGCCCCGGCTTCCAAACCGGCAACAAGTCATTGCCGAAGATGACAGCAGATAGTAAGAATCCATCCCAGATAAATTCAGTTCAATAGCTAACGATGATACAAGCTGCCTGCCAGAGGAATCTGGCCGTCACGGAGTTGAGGCCCCAAGCCAAATTCCCACCGGGGAGGCCGGGAGTGAAGATACGAATCCTGGTCCCTGGGCAGACTACGCTATGACAGTTATTTTGAATTGAATGCCTGACCAGCAAGACATATATTTCCTTATTTGGTATATATAGTAAATTTCTAGGGAAGGTCTTAATATTACTTCCGCCCATGCAACACAGCCCATTCTTGCTTTACTGAAATAATCCAGCCTCCTTTCTGCGCCTGATCCATACCCCTGCTCTCTCCGGTTTCGAAGGAGTCCTCGCTTCCACGGGATATCCCTCTCGTTTCTGGGAGGGTTTGAACTGCGATGCCGACCTCATGCTTTGGCCCAATTGGCCGTAAACACAGCTCACTCGAGTCATCCTGAAGCGGCCGGAACTCGCTATCGCCAGCAGACCTAGACCTTCCAGATGGGGGTGAAGACTTTTTTGACGGGTGAGCTGTCACCTCGGGGGTGTATGTTGACCACCCCAGGAGGGGCCGCATCATAGGGATCGAAGCGAGGATGACAGCGAGACAAGGCTCTAGACCACTGAAGATGTTGGCACGGGGAATCGAGTAGGTGATGTCGGTGAAGTCCATTGTGGAGAGTATAGAGATACGAAGGATGCTGATAACACATGTGCTATTCATATATTCTAGGTTAGCAAAGACCCTCTCGTGTTTCTTTCACTGGTTGTGCAAATCTTACACGCCTCCCAGTCCGAAGATTGTGATGAACGCCACTTTCTTATAACTAGCCATTTGCAACTTATATAGCAGCGGCATAGGTGTCACCAGCACAACAATATCGGTAATAAGATTTATAATTCCGGTCACCGTGAATGAGGTAACCTGGTTACCACACGATCCTCCGGGAATAGTCTGGTCCCAGTTGAAAGCGAAGGGCCGACATATCAGACATCCAGCCAGGATTGTCCCAATAGTCCAGGCTACAATCACACCCATTGTTATCCAAGAGATCTGCACGACCCAAGTGACGGGGAAGATGCTAAGATATAAGGATAATATGGAGATCTTTGTACAGCTGAGACTCAGAACCCAGAGAAATTGCAATGGGACGATCAGCTGAAGGAGTTTGGTGATAGGCTCGGTTCCATATGTGCCCGCAATTGTAATGACATGGTCATAGCCGATGCCTGCTTGTATTACGCCGGTGATGCTAATGGACTGGAGACCGACGGCTAAAATCTGTATTAGTTAGCATAGTTGATATTGTTCGAGTTGATTGGGCGAATACTCACACCGGCGGCAATTATGAAATAGTCACTCAATGTCCATTTTTTACGCGCCAGATGGTGAGCTAGCAGTCGCAGACATACTGCTGCCACAGATAGGATAGAGAAAGCGATAGCCACGCCCAAGACCTGCCTTTGGGCTGGCGTCTCTATAGGGAAGGTAACGACCATCCTCCATTGTCGAAGGAAACCCAGCGAAGCGAAATAGGAGAACGATGTTAAATAGGTAATTTGAAACCAACCTGCAGCTAACTAGCAGGGATGTCCAAGGTAGCCGTGGGGGCCAAAATCGCCCGACGATGCGTCTAGCTTCGGAATTTCGATATCAGATAACCTGAATTTTTATGATTAATTGTAGTAACAAGTAACTAGTAATTGGCAAAATCTTTTGCGCAGACTAGAGGTTGAGAGATCTAATAATAACACGAGTATTGTCACATTTAATGAAAGAAACAAGTATCCCGACAGTCCCCGGGATCCTCACTCATTGGTGGGCCAAATGCCACTTATGCAGTTACAATGAGTCCGTCGCTTTCTTAGCGCGTTTTGACCTCCAAGACCAATTGTAGGAGTTCTCACAGAGATAATAAAGCTTGGCGCAGTAACCAAATATGCACATGTTTGATGGAAAACTGCGTCCCCTTTTTTCTCCGCAATGCATCTGATATGTAAACGCCAATACTCCTTATGGCTGCCACTCCTATCACGGCTGTGGTGGCGTTAGGTCTGTTGACACTGCTCTACATCGTCACACCAAAAAAGAATGAAGAAGATAAACCCCTCCTCAAGCTTCCTCTAATCGGCGACCTCCATAGCTCCCCAATTGATAAGCCGCTTTTGAACTGGGACTCATGGACGAAGGAAAATGGACCTGTTGCAGTACCGAAGCTCTTTGGACTCATACCGATTGTGGTGTTGAATTCATATGAGGCTGTGACAGAGTTGTTCAGTCGCCGTAGCCAGTGGTACAGCAACCGTCCGCCCTCCGTCAGCATGGAAATGATCACCGGAGCTGAGCCTGGGCAGTCAAAATTTACTCTGATGCACGACTACGATGACCACCTCAAGTTCCAACATCGTATCCTAGCGCCCAGTCTCGGCGCTCTTGCTGCCCCACAGTACCATCCTTTGATGGAGCTCGAGGCCAAACAGTTATTATTTGATCTCTCAAATGCTACACGTCAGTTTCCCCAAGGAATCAGCACAGAAACCATCTATCCACTGCTTGAGCGCACTCAATCGAGTGTCATTCTTGCTCTGCATTATGGCATGCGTATCCCAAGCTTTGAAGAACATATCTTGCATGAGATCATCGACATCCAGACTCAGGTAACCCATCTTGCTGCGAACCCCGGTATTCCGGATATTATCCCGCCTCTGCGCCACCTGCCGGCATTTTTGTCACCCTGGAAGAGAGCGGCCGATAAGCTGTACGCCACGCAGGTGGACCTCTATATGCGCTTGTTCCGGCATGGGAGGGACTCAGCAGGCTGGAACTCGACCAAGCAAGCCATCGCCACAGCGGAGAAGTACTCTGAAGATGGTGTTCCTGATCTCGACCTCGCTTTCACCCTCGCAACATCTATTCAGGGGGGTATGGAGACTTCACCGCGGCAGCTGCTGTGGTTGTTCACTGCAGCACTGCACCAACCGTCATTCATGGCGCGGGCGCACGCCTTGCTCGACGAAGTCGTCGGACGCGACCGCCTCCCCAATTTCTCGGATCGTTCGGGGCTCGCTTTTATTGACGCTATTATGCATGAACTTTTCCGTTGGCGGCCTATTTCGCCGGGATCCATTCCTCGTAGGGCAGACCGAGACGACGAGTTCAATGGTATCAAGATTAAAAAGGGCGTCACGCTCATGGCCAATGCGTGGGCCATCGGTCGAGATGAGAAGATATTTGATCCCAAGCTAGGAGACACTGGGGACTTTGTGCCTGAGCGGTGGCTCCAGCGCGATGGTGGTGGAGAGGAAAGACTACGAACAGATCTTCCGTTGCCGGTCTTTGGGCAGGGCCGCCGGATCTGCCAAGGAAAGAGGGTCGCTACCGATGGATCTTTCATACATGTTGCTTGTCTGCTGTGGGCGTTTGACATCGAGTCCGCTGATGGGGAACTGGTGGATCCATGGGCGATGGTCGTGGCAGGATTCATGACAATGCCAAAGGAGGTCAAATTCAAACTCCGACCCAGGGGTGACTGGGTAATCAATGTAATTAATAAAGAGTGGGAGACGACGGAGAAAAGACTCGGAAAGGTCATGGGAACTGACGTTGATGTTGAGAATAATTGATAGGGATACGATTACATATATTCAAACTCGCCTTAGATCTCGCCAGCGCGGGTGAACTGCTAATTGGATAAATCAAATCTCAGGTTTCTGAAGGGCAAGTGGATATTCTGTAATTCTTGGCAGGTGCCTTTATGGTCGCTGTATGGGATGGTAGGCTGTGTGGATGGGTAGGTGTTTTGATAGTAAAATGAATGGGCCATTGTGATGGTGGAAAAACCCAGAAAATTTGAAAAAGCATCTCTCAATTTATTCCACATGGCCAGGGATCGAACGCATGATCTCGAAATTCAGAAATCCATCCTGTCGTCGTTCCTTCCGAAAATAGATGTCCGGATAGCTTCGATTTTTGGAGTCGAATAGATGTACCCTGCTATCAAAGTGTTTATCAACCACCACCATCCTATGTTCGAATTAATTTGAAACTTTGCAGGTAGCAGCATGGCCCTAACTAGACTCATAATTTTGATTCTAAAGCTATCACGACGTCAGGAAGGTAGAGCAGTTGAAGTTCTAATATTCTCTGGTGACATCTCTTTTTACGATTTTGTCCTATATCAAGAACCCAAAGACTAATATTACAACCAGCCCCCCCCAGTGGCCCAGCGGTAGTATGACCGGGTCGTCCCTTGCGAGGGGCGTTCTCAACGGGCGTTTGGCCTTAACGGGTATTGCTTAGCTCCCCACTGTCGGTTCGGACTCCTATGTGCTAAAGCTCTCAAGAAAGTCTACAAGCATTTCAGTATGCAAGGCAAACACCCTTGGGTCAGCGACAAAGCATGCTTTCGGCCTAGACATACGTGTCTAGGGTGTTTGGTAGTGCGCTCCCACCCTTGGGGGGATGCCGTATTCCGGACGGTTTGTGGAGGCATATAGGAGAATGGCCGGAGGAGACACTCGTCTCCTGAGGTCTAGGAACGGTCTAGATTAATGGGGATTTTTTTTGATGCTATACTTAATTCTTCCTTCCTTCTTTTTACCTTGATCCTTGATGTTATCCATCTTCTCTCTTCCCTCTTACACGTATTCAGCAGTGTTCCTTCTTCTCGGTGTTATTTATCTACTATGTTAGTTTCGTGCTTCTCCCCCCCCCCCGGTGTTCCATCCCTGATGCTCTTTACCTTCTTTCCCATCATGTTCATTTACCTCCTTCGCAACATACTCTCCAGCTCGATCTAAGCGTTCATTTCTCCCATCCAACTACAGATGTTCACCTTCCCACATTCATGCTTCATTCTATCATGAACCTTATGCTTCTTCACTTCTTTGCTTGCTGTACCAACTTGTTTTCCATCTTTTGAATGTTGAACCATAATTGCCTGTATTCCCATATTCTATTTGCATGCTGACCCTTCATCCAATTAGTGTCACCATCCGTGCACGTTTACACTACATCGATCCCTGGGATAAAGAATACACGGCATCAGTCAGTACTTCATCATGGTGGACAGCCTTGATATATACACAGCGCGAAGTGTTTGGGTGTCTGCACACTGATCAAAGATCCCGACGATGAAGGGCTAAATCTGGAGCGGAGCGTGTCGACCCCATGGCAGCTGGTTCAGTATGTTGTTGATAAACTTCAACAACTCGACATTGACGCCTCTGCAATTCTCAATGATATAGTGACTGGCATGAAGTCCATCTCTACATACTTCGATTCAAGGGGAGTGGCCTATTTGCTCACACATAGCAGCTTTCGTGGTCAGAACTGGGCTTTGTTCCAGCCATGGATATTTCCTCTATGGGCTAACAATCTGTTTACATATTAGGGATCGAGCCAATAGCATGGGTGCATAGTACTCGACGCCATGTCTGAGAACCCGGAACCTGAAGTTTTGATTGGAGACAGGCTCTCCTTGTCACGTACAAGAGCTCCAAGCCAAAAAAATGCGCCCCAGCCTACCGGACGAGTTCTGAATCTTACCAGCTGCCAAGAGGCTCGAATTCCACTGTATAGACGACATGGTAGTGGGATTTGTGCAGATATGAAGGACATCCAGATGACTAATAGATTGCTGGAGCATTATTAGGTTGTCAATGGATTGGAGTGCATTCATTATGGGCAAAGTGCATACTTTAGCTTCAGGTGTGTCAATACATGGATAACAAGGAAGTGCCTAGGTGTGTCCGATTTACGGAATGACTTTTTTACATTCTAACTATCAATCAATGGCTTTTATTTCAAACCGGCCGAAGAAATACAAGGCAACACCGAGTCAGCACCGGTAGAGAGGTGGATTTACATCAAATGACTACCAATCCATCTCGAACGACGGGAATATATAGTCTAGAAAATCCACGGCAGGCCAACAAAGTACCTTTTGGGCCAAACAGAGTAAGCACATGGTGTTATATACAGTATATGTTCAATCCGAGATCCATCAAATGTTCAGTAGACGTAACGGAAGGAATGATTTTGCTTATCAGTCAGCCCAGCCCACCGAGTCTGGTCCGCCGCATCAACATCGCTCTTAGTCTGATCTCTGCGGTGGTTTTGCCACCTGTAATAGAAAAAGAGGACGACAGACAGTAAAGCAGCCGCAGCCTGAGTTGCAAGAACAGCAATCTTGGCCGGTCGGTATTCTGGTGCATCGTGTGACTGGAATGTTTGTGGACCAATGATGTTTCCGACCGAGAAAGACCCAGCAACAAGCGCGCTAGCAAATGCGCGCTTGGTATGTCCAGCGCAGTTGGCCATGGTCCACTGGTATAGAATCGGAAGAGTAGCTACAATTGCGTTGACAAGATAAATCCCGATCAGCACACCGGCTTTGTTGCTTTTGGGTAGGAAGGATAGTAAGCCCCCGCCGATGATTCCAGGAATGGTACATAGTACATTCCATGCCCAGCGGTTGGAAGTTCTGCGGATGCCAAACCCGACGAGAAGTGTGAAAAAAATGCTAACGATGCCCGACGGGGTGTTGAGAAGCGCCGAGATGGGACCCGAGAACCCAAATCCGGCAATCAATGTCGAGGAATATGTCGTCACCACACCACTTGACACGGATATCTATGCAGGATTAGTCAATAGAGCTGCAGGGGATGTTGGAGCAAGGGGGTGAAGGGAGCGACACACCAGAATTGTTGTCACAGTTAGGAGCCACAGCTGAATATCGAGCACGGCCTCCCGAATTTGTTTCAGGTTCAAATTTGTGCTCCATACTCCAGTCTGGTTTTCGCTGACGTGTTGAAGGAGTGCCACCTTTTCGTTATCAGACAGCCAGGTTGCCTTCATCGGTGTATCCGGAATGAAGAAAAACGTTAAACCGCCGACAACAGTTGTCACCAATCCAAGAACAAGAAACATAATCCGCCAACTGTCTAATAAGGCATGATGCACATGCTGGAATCCAAAAGATATGATACCACCAATTATCTGCGCCACACCAAGACCCATATACCACACAGTGAACCGAGGAGCTTGTTCGCTTCGGGTGTAGTATTGACTGCTGATAAGCATCAAGGATGGTCCCACTGTCGCTTCAAAAATGCCTAGGAAAATTCGTGCTGCCAGCAGGCTCCGATACCCTCGAGCGCCAGAAGATGCGGCAGCCGCGACACCCCAGAGGAAAACATTTCCACCGAGCCATTTGGCAGGCGGTACTTTCTGTAAGAAATATACTGTGAATTGAGGATTAGCAGTGATAATCAACAGGCAAATAATAATACTCACCATTGGGTACCTCCGCGATCAAGTAGGCAATGAAGAACCATGTGGCGACGTTGGAGAAATCATTGCCGACGAGTCCCAAGTCTTTTTTGATCCCCATAACAGCGGCATACTGTACATGTGCGAAATCACCCTTGCATTAGGAATATGGCCCAGACAGCTGAATTGAAAGTCAAACTCACGTTCAGCATGACCTTGTCCAAAAATTGCAGTACATAGCAGCAAAACATATAAGGGATCAATCGTCGATCGATTTTACGACGTAGAGCCCGCAGATTGACTGGAGAGTCGAGCGCCTCCTTTTCATGGCCCTTAAGATATACCACAGCATCATCAATCTCATCTGCGGAAGGATGTGCTACTACCTCGGGTTGGATTTCACCCATCGCAGCTGGGAACAATTGAGTAACCGACAAGGAAGAACGTAGTTAATAGGGAAGTTGGGGGGAAATGAAAAAAAATGGAATTTAAGAAAATGGTGGTGGGAAAGGTGGGAAATACAATGGATTGATGCGGTAAAAGTGTAAGTAACGTCGCAATCACCGTGGGGATCGCGTGGCTACACGTTTCACACCTAGCAACGAATCAGAATCAATAGTCTAAGACCCTAGGACCTTTCCGTGTTGGGAGTTACATGAAGTTTATGAAGGGGTGAACTAAAGGACAATAATATTGTAAACAACCCTGCAAGGCCGGGAGAGTACGGAGAAACGGAGCGAGGAGCACAGGGTACATGACTAGCATTATCGGTCTTATTTCCACCAAAGGAAGTCTAGTGTAATGGTGATTTTTGGCATTTCTTTCACTTTTATCACTGTATGTTGTAATGATTTGGTGAAAGAAACCTCGGTATATCTATCTGCCTGCCCTGGCAGACGCTTGACTATGTCCTCGTCCATACTCTCCCCTGTACCCCTTCGCACAATTTCTTAGCAATGGGCTGGGTACATAATGCCTCTCCCGAGGTTGAAGCTGCCTCGCAGTACCGCCTCATTCTGGGTGTATGTTTGAGTCTCACTATCTTAATGGTTTTCACGGTTTCCCTGCGACTTTTTCTTCGAGCGCGAGCCAGTCGATGGGCAGCGGCGGACTATGTTATGGTTGTTAGTATGGTAAAGTAACCTGCGCGTGATACAAGGGACAATACAACTGATTCCAGCAGGCCTTTAGTGTTATATACAGTGCACTCTGCATTTCTCGTAGGCACCTCCAGCTTTCCCTCTGCTGCAAGAAACATACTCACAGTCGCAGAAAGTCGATATGGGCTAGGGCTGCCGTTGAAGCAAAGACCGGCAGCAAATTACTCCACATATACGAAGGTCAATATCTTCTCCCTTTCAGTTCGATTCTTTGCACTTATTATTCTACTGGCAAGCTGATAAGAGACAACTAGATTAACTACGCAGGACGCCCATTTTACCAGATTGGAATCGCAGGATTCAAGGCTTCGCTTTGCCTTAGCTATCTGCGACTGATCTCTGGAACCTCAAAGCGTCTTTACCGAATTGTGATCTGGATTGTGATCGCGGCATCTACGTTGGGTCATATCGCTGGTGCTTTGAGCCTGCTCTTCAATTGCACACCGGTAAGAACCTCTCCCTACGAAGGACATACGCGAGCACACACTGACAACCATTTGGCCGCAACAGGTCCGACGATCATGGAACGCCCATGTACCAGGCACATGTCTTCCCGTGGGAGGCCTGTTCTACGGTCTCGCAATTTATACCATCATCACAGACGTGACCATCATCGTGCTTCCCATCCCATTGCTCCTTAGCCTGAATATCAAAACTGCACAGAAGGCTGGTGTTGTGTGCCTTTTCCTCCTCGGTCTCTTCACCACGGTCTGCTCGATCATGCGGCTAACTCAGATACAACGTGTCGCATTCGGAGATGGAAACTCAACAATGCTTGTGCTATGGGGAACAATCGAGTTCAACGTGGGCGTAAGTGAAAATGACTACTTACGTGAGAACTACAATGGCTGATTTGTGTATTAGAACATTGTCACTTGCATTCCATATCTGGCACCTCTACTCAAAGGCTTCGTGCGAGGACTCGCTCCAACCAGTGACAGAAGCAAGAATTATTACTATGACAGCCAAGGCAAAGGCTACTTGATGGGGAATTGGTCGAAGGATCGGCAATCGCACATGCAGTCAACAGCTTCCGGCCGTACACAGCTAAAGAGAACACCGAGCGAGGAGCTCATTTTGGCTAGTCAGGAGCCCGACCACGGAGGTATCGAGAGGACGATAGAGTATAGAGTATCTTTAGAGGGCAAGCCAACCAAATAGGAAGGAAGCTTGAACCCGCCGACGAACTCGCACAAATTTTGGCGTTTGTCCGGAGTCCGAAGGACATTCTTTGGAGGCAATTTCCAATTAATTAATGTTCATTTTTTTTCTTTTCTTTCATGCCTGCCCCTCCCGCTAGCACCGCCGTAATCCCTACACCCCTTGCCTTTGTGGCGTTAAGCTAGTGGCAATAATATATAGCCATGTTGTTGCAACATCCGGCTCGCCCTCTACAAATAGCCAACATTATTAGCCGACTTGAAAAATCTGCGATCGCTAGTTTCCGTATGACAGTATCCTTCTCGAAGATTTCTGATTCGAATTGGTTGTCCGAATAATGCCCCAAATAAAGCGGGATCCACAGGATCAACGCGCTCGGGCAGTGGACCCCGAAGATCCCGCGTGTACAAGTACTCCGTAGACTGCGGGAAATGCGTCTGAGACATGAGTAGAATTAGATTGAGTCAAGGATACTACGGAGTACACCGGTCCTAATTAAAATGTAACTTCATTAAACCAACTCTGGCTAGCACAAGGCAACAACATCACCCGAAAGTATAATCCTAAATTCCCTCAGTCTCTAATGCTAATGGGATGATGTAAAATAAATGTCTTTGTCCTGGCCTCTCTCCTAATTAGGCAAGTCAATTTCTTTTATAAATCTGCCCGAGCTGGAACCCGAGCCGTCCCAGGGGCCGATGGAACCCTATAAAATCTTAATTGTGTCCTTTCGGGTTAGGTAGCCCCAGAAGGATCCGGGTACTTTTCGTATTGGGTTTTGCGTGCGGACTTACCAAGTGGTGGCACGACTCATTCGATACGGAGTAAACTAGGGCCGGGGTTGTATAGAGAGGCAATCGAACTGGAAACTGGACAGTGTTACTAGAACTGCGCACTGTAACACGCTCACCATGTCTGAATCTCCCATTCTGATTATCGGTGCAGGCATCAGTGGCCTCGTACTGGCCCAGTACCTTCAGCGCCATGATGTCGCGTTTAAGATCTTCGATCGCGACTCCGCAATTGATGCCCGTAGTGGTGGATGGGGTTTGACACTGCATTGGTCACTCCCCGCCCTGCGTGAATTATTGCCGGAGCACCTGGTCGAGCGGTTCCCTGAAACCTTCGTCAACAAAGAAGCATCCGCCCGTGGCGACGTCGGTCGCTTCCAGTTTTTCGACCTCAAGTCGGGAGATGCATTATATAATATTCCCGCCGCGGAGCGCATTCGCGTCAGTCGCGTTCGCTTGCGACAGTTACTGAGTACCGGCGTGGATGTTCAAGTAAGTCCTGATATGATTGTCTTGGAAGAAATCTCATTTTTGTCATACTATTCATAGCGCTAACACTGTGCTTTCAGTGGAACAAAAACCTTCGAAATATTGAGTCTACAGCCGATGAAATCACAGCGCACTTCGAGGATGGCACATCTTACACCGGGCGGCTACTGGTCGCATGTGATGGTTCGCGGTCGCGTGCCCGCGAGATCCTCTATCCCAACGTACAGATGAACCACTTGCCAGTGCAGCTTCTAGGTGCCTCGACATTGTACAGCGCCGAGGAGATGGGCGGTGTTGAGTCAATCGACCCTTTCATCTTTCAGGGTTCGCATCCTGAGTCAAACGTGTTTTTATTCTTCAGTTGTAAGTCCGCCAAATCCTCTATTCTCTTCTGCAGGTTGCTGATGTCTTCATAGTTCTGGATACTCCAAACAATTTCGAGAATAGTAGCAAGGACCGTTACCACTGTCAAATCATCATCTCCTGGGCGGATTCGAAGGGAATCCCTGTCCCAGACACGAATGTCGAGCGCCTCGCGCTCATGAAGAAGTTGACTGATAATTGGTCGGAACCATTTCGCTCGCTGGTGCAAAAGCTTCCCCACGATGTCGAAGTGCGATCGATTCGCGTGGAAGACTGGATGTTCAGCCTAGGCAGGGCGCACGCGCATCCTCGGGCGGTATTGATGGGAGATTCGGCTCACACAATGACCATGTGTATGTTTATGCGAGCGTGATAGAATGCGCATATCTAATTTCAACTAGTCCGCGGAGAAGGCGCCAACAACGCGATCGTCGATGTGTTGGATCTCGTCACGCGTGTCGATATGCGCCAGCCAAGGTATGAATCTAATCACTTCCAATCCTCCTCGATTCAGTTCATGTTAATCATCGCTTTTACGATCATTAGTTCCTTCGATTCCAAAATCTTGCCATCCTCCCTCGCAGCATACGAGAACGATGTTTTCACCCGAGCCGAGCCTAGCTTCCTCAACTCTAGACAGGCATGCTTGGATGCTCATGACTTCTCCAAAATTGAAGGAAGTCCGCTGGTTGGATTACGGGATTTGAAAAAATCCGACTGAAGTCACTGGGGCGCGGGAACGGATTCCGTAGAAAACTTAAGTCCAAGTTTCCCACCGTGTGGCAATACTTTAAGCGACAGAGGGATAACATACACAAGAATAAAGTACCAACAACTGATGAGATTAAGACCTCGGGATGTTGTGGATGTCCACGGGTTAATAGTTGCCCAAATCGATCGAAGTGCTTATCAGTGCCAAGTCTCAGACTCGCTCCCGCCCCCAACTCTCACACATTCCACTTCTCCTAGTACCAACGGAAAATCTAGGTCTGGAGTTACCCAACTCTTCAAATTGACAAAATAGAGGCACTCAAATGCAAGGCTGACGGGCAATGAATGACACCGCGTCAAATCAAGCGACCAGGGTCCGTGTATCGCAGCGTCAGCCGCAAGCCTGCCGAGGTAAATGCCGATCCTCTGCTGCGTCTCAGGTCTCGTAGGCGACTGACATGATACAGAATGCACGAAGCGCAAGCGCAAATGCGACAAACAAAATCCCTGTTCGAGATGTAAACGCTTGAATCTGAAGTGCTCCATAGAAATCGTTCAGCTTAGACGCAACGCTGTGCAACATGGGTCAGAGATTCAATTTTTACATTCGCTTTTGGCGGATCTCGAATCAGCCCCGTCTGATCCAGTGCCCCTTGTCATTCAAAAGATCAAAAATCAAATATTTCGGCTGGAGACCGGCATGGATCCGGCAGAATCGGAGGTATCCGACACCACATCGACACAACGGGAATCAAGTACAACCGAGAACCATGCACTTGGCAAAGTGTCCCACAGTTCGACTGAAAATACATCACATCAAATTGACTCGTCCCTTCTCACGGCTATTGAACATCTTGCGTGGGGTCGTAATTCTGCCGGATGTTTCCCTCACAGGACGTGCTCGTGCCAGTATCGCCAAGATGGACTCCAATCGTTATCAGGGACGAGTCCTCTTCCAGTCTATCATCCTAATCCAGAGCTGAGCTCTGTTTTCCCCAATGCGACAGATGCCCAGAAGCTGATCAAGTTTCATTTATGTCATGTGGCCTGGCATCATAACTGTATTCATGGTCCGACATTTCTCGAGCAGTGCGAGTTATTCTGGGAAACTGGGAAATTTGATGACCCTCTCTGGCCAGCGCTCTACCTTTCTGTCCTGAGTTCCACCGTCAGCTCAATCCAGGATAGTACGAAAGTAAAAGAGAGTGTTGATGTCGACCTCCAGGGGATACAATCTACACATCAGCTGTTCTCTGCTATGGTGCAGACCCTCTACAATTCACATTTCCTCAGCAACCTCTCCGTGTACTCTGTTCAAGCAATCGTCATATCGACCGAGGTCGCTCATAATCTTGGCTTGAGTCAGCTGAACGCGACTTTATTCAATGCTGCAGTACGCATTGCCGAGTGCCTTGGGATCCACAAGATTCAAGATCAATCAACAAAACTTGCTCAAAACAAAGATGAGTGGGATGAAAGAGTGGAACGAGAAGTGGGAAAGAGGGTATGGTGCCAGATGATCATTCAAGACCATTTCGCTATTCCTTTTACCGACACCTACAGTATATCTCCAATGCATTTCTCGACAGGCCCTCCCATGAACGCAGATGATTATGACCTGACCGATATGCCTATCACAACACCCACTATAAGCACTTACATCCGTGTGCTCGTGACTTTGGCAGAATTGATGCCCGGTCTAGTTGACGGACTCGGTCCGATGAAATCCAGAAAGCCTATGCGAGAGCAATACGAACACATCCTGCATATAGACCAGAAAATGAGGGCTATTGTAAAAGCCATACCCTCTTTCCTTTTGCGTGCGGATAAAACGAAGGAAGCACAAATCCCATGGCTGGCTATCGCTCGACGAAGTCTCGCTATCACTGCAGCCGAGAAGATTATCATGATTCATCGGCCGTTCCTCTTCCGATCTTTCAATGACCAGACATATACCTATTCAAGACGTACCTGTGTTGCCGCTGCAATGACAATTCTGCGTGAGCACGAGGTAATTGTAAGGGAAGGGGATATCTCGATATGGACCCATACAGCCTTTGCGATTACCGCTGCGGTCATTATGTGTTTTGAGGTTAATGCAACTGCAGAGAACCAAGCCACTATTGCTCAAAGCCACAAGGATGCAATAGTTGCGGCTCGCACCCGCCTTGCTGATCGAAGTAACGACGTGCTTGCTCAACGAGGCGTTGCGTTAATCGATGCAATTTTTACGGCCGATACAGCCTCGGGTCCAGGACTTGGCAACAAAACCATCGATTTCGGTCAAATTTTGGCCAAGTTCTCGACTTTTACGAGAATGAACCTAGGTCCTGACAGCCCTAACACATCTGTTAGCAGGTTCTCGAATTCCGGTCCTCAAGATGTGATCGGTGCCCATTTTAACGAAATGCAGCCGGCGTGGGATACAGCGGAAGATATCGATTTTGATGCATGGTTCAATGGAACATTCCACACTCTACATGACCCTCTTCAGTTTTGAGAGAAGCAAAAATTCACAACCGTTTGAAACCATTCTTTCATTGAGCTACTCTAGCCATTGGTACATCTTAATTTATGCCCTCACATAACCCGTGTCGTTGACTCCCTCGTATTCCCGGAAGGGCTTTGGGGGAGTTGTGCTTGTCATTGTACATTGCCAGAGCAATCTCCTCTTGTCCTCTTCGTCCTTGTACTTGGCTAATTGGCCAGTAATGCTGTGCATTACACCCCTGTTGTGGAAAATGACCACATCACCCTCTTGCCAGTGGTGGGCATAGATGTTCTCAGCAGCATATATCTTACTCTGCATCTTGTACACCACTTCTCTGACCTTCTCGACGTCATCCATCACCGTGATCTCACCCGTCGCTGGGTTCCGCGTGGTAAGTTTGTAAACGCAACACCCGTGCACCTGGAAGAATGGCCGGCCGGGATTCAGTGGGTTTCGCCAGACCATCTGATGAAATTTGTCAGCCGATACTCATTCCTATTGGTGTGCAGTTGGAGTAGCAACCTACCGGGTGCTCGGCGACTTTGTCCCACGCCCATTCCGACAATTTTTCCACCGGTACCTCCCGTCCAAAGTTCGGGATCGTCAGGCCATCTTCGGAAGCTTTGCATTGGCGAATGTACTCGTATGCTTGGGGAGCATAGGTGACTGTGGTATTCAGAGCAAACTCTTGTTCCTCCGGCGTCAACAACGAAAATACGCGAGCGCCGGAAAAGACTGTATTCGGTAAGTGTGTGGACCTATCTGCATTTGTTCGATAAACTCACAAGCCGTGGCTCCAGCACCAACAGTCTTCTCTTTCCCATCAGGGAATTTGATCCTCTGATCCGGCACATTGGGAATGCGGATTGAGTGCAAGATGGTCACTTCGCCTGGCAGGCGCTCATAGAAAGGGGTATCCATGTGCCACCGGTATGGACGAGTATAGCCATCATCTAATTCCTCTTGACTGAGAGGCTCCTCGTGAAACAATGTGTGGTCCTGTATCACTGGTCAGTCAAATGAAAGTTTAGTACGTCGGTCAGACGGGGGACACGAACAAGATGCACCACCTCCAGCTCCTTCAGACCCTCGTAATCCTGGAACTTCCCCGAGCCAATGATTCCAACTTGTTGGGCTCTAGGGATTCGTCCTGCTTTGTATGCAGACAAGATGTTCTTGGGATCGCTCACAGCTTTCTCTCCTGCGGAATGGACGTCGGATGCTTCGGGATCAAAAACCTTAGCGAGCTTTGGCAAGACGGTAGGGTCAATGCCCTTTTGCTTTCTGATGACAATAACTTGATTCTCGAAAAGAGCTTTTCGGAGAGTATCTTTGTCGTTGTCGGTTAAGCGGTCCAAATCCAGCAAGGGCATTCCTGGAGGCAGTTGGACTTCGGCGCCAATGGCGGAGCTTTGTCTGATCTCATCAGAGAGGAGATCGAAGGTCAAACTTGTTGATTCAGGCATTTCGTGTTTCGAACAATGTTCAGAGTCTTTTCAACGGATAATGTTGGATATATTGTCATCGTTGAGTACAACGCTGCCTTTAAGCAGAGACGAGAATGGAGCAGAGCGGACGAGTCCACGTATGTGTACCACCATTTTTGATAAGACCAATGTCTCGGAACTTTCGGTTCTCAACGAATAATGCTTTTTGTATTATCATCTCGATGGATTGGCAATAATGGTGGGATCCTATCTCCGTGGACGGGTGAGCTGGGACGGGTGAGCCGCAGCATCTCACCCGCACCCTCCTGATTGGCCCTTGTGGTACTATGTACAAACAGTATAAAGCACGTACGGTCGCTCGGCGGTGGTATTCATATTGATCTCATCCTGATATTTATCTCAGCTGCTTTATTCAAAATGGTTACCATGACTCTTTCTTGCAAGCCTGTCACCAAGCCCGATGATTCTCGGGTAGACTTTGGGGCTGAACTCACCGGCTTCGACGTTGAAACAATGACAGGTAAGCAATGGTCAAAGCAGCTTTATTGAGTTCAAATTCTGATTCGATATAAGATGACGACTTTGACTTTCTCCGTCGGACATTGTATGAGAATCAAGTCGTCGTGATCAAAAGCCAAGGCAAACTTTCCCCACGTGCCCAGTACGAACTCACTCGACGCTTCGATCCTTCCGCCGGTGTTTACAGTCATGGAAAATCAATCGACAAGCGGAGCGTCCTCCATGCTGACCTGACAACCATCCCTCATCAACCGCAAGTCCAAGTTATCGGCAGCGGCTTGGTCGAAGAGTATGAGGGACTCTCAAACATCCGCCTCAAACACCCACACCACAAGACATTCCACAAGAACCCCATCTCGCCTGAAGAAGATCACGACTATACACACTTCTACCGCTGGCACATCGACTCGGCCATGTACAATCTTGATCCGCCTTTGGTTACCACGTTGCTGGCTGTCAAAGTCCCCAAGGGCCGCCGCCAGATCTGCCGCTATGACGATGGCACCGACACCACACTTGACGTTCCCCTTGGAACAACCGCGTTTTTCAGTGGATACCGCCTTTACGATATGCTCTCAGAGGAAGATAAACATTTCGTCCGCACCAGCAAGGCTGAGTACGCACCTCATCCATACATCTGGATGAGCAAGGCCAAGTCACGCTCCAATGGTTTGGGGATTATATCAGAAGGGCTGGAGCTTGCCGAAGACCAGTTGCCTCCTTTTGAGGCTTCTAAGATCAGGGTGTACCCCATGGCTTGGAAGAACCCTGTTACTGGCAAGATCGCAATGATGGTTTACCCAACATGTGTGCGGAAAATCCATCTCGAGAACGGGCAGGTGCTGGATAATCTGACGGAGATTCGAGAACGGCTGTACAAGATGCAAAGACAGGCCATTGATCCTTGCTACTTGTATACCCATGACTGGGAGGAGGGCGATCTAGTGCTTTTCAACAATCATGGTGTGATGCATTCGATTGTTGGTTCTTTTGAGGAGGATGAGGTGCGCGTGTTCAGACAATGTAATATGGCAGCTAGTCGACCTCCTTTGGCACCGGAAGATAGCGTCGTTGATGTTTAGTACATGAATGAAACTAGATATATCCAGACGACTTCCTATATTATTGAACTTCCTGTCCCCGAACTGGTAATCTCAGAAGGCGAATATTTATCGACCCTTTTGCCTGGATGATATATATCACTCACTGACTAGAATGAAGATATATATTCGTGAGAGTCACTGATATCGGACTTAACAAGACACATTAGTGGAGTAAGTAACTCTCCTCCAAACTAAGTACTATATTTACCTTTCGGATTACTCCGCCAGAATGGGCTAGCATGGACGAATCGCATTTAATGGCACCACTTGCGACTAGCCAAGGTTATGTCCGGTCGCTGGTCTACCACGGATCACTCTGAATTTAAAGTTACAAGCCGAATTTTCCAAGGTTCTATCAAAAGCTTCAAGTATGTATGTATTTTGGAAGTATCAATCCTACAAATGGTGCTCTTCCTGTTAGTACTTCTTTCGTCAGAATATCGTATCGTTTCCCTCGAAAATGATACATTCCTATATTGGACTATGGGTAAATTTCCCCAATAATGACACCATTTCCTCGAATCCAATCAGCGGCTATCATGTTGCTTTGATTGGTCTAGCGTTGAATCTAAAGGCACTGGGACCTCTGCAATATTGAGTGAAGGAACGTACCCGAACTCACCTTCTTTTAAATTCTGCCGGTTCTGCCGGTTTAAAACTCATGTGACGTAGCATTGGAGGTCGGCAGTATACTTGATTGGAAAGCGGTCTAGAAAGGCGGTCAATTTAGAGGTTACGGAGTGGGGATAAGCTCATCAACCCGCCTCGGCACGCCATCCATAATTTAAGCACTTCCCACACCGAAGTCACACCGAAGATGTGCCTGTTGGTGTACTTGGCATGTCTTGACTGAGTTGTAAAGAAAAAGAGCATTTCTACAAGTACCCTTTTCCAGTTATGGGTCACTTTTTACGATGTTATTCCTCCTTTGCCACTAGTATCACTACTTGGAATCACAATATTTCTCATACAGACGGTGGAATCTCTTAAATGTATAAGACTAACCCCTACCTAGGTCAATGCGTCGTATCCCCGCACGGGGTCTTGCTGCCTTGCGTCAGCAGGTGTCTCGGCAAGTGTCCGTACAACATATGTTGTAGATAACTAGGTAACTAACCAGTTAGCTTCATGCTAGCTGAGATAATAAAACCATTTGAACCCTATGGATTTGGACTAGCTTCAGCGCTTTGGCATTATCACTATATTGGAAGGAACTTGTTGCCATTTTGAGTGGATCTATCGTCACATCTGCATCCTGTCAACTGCGGACAAATATTAAGAAATCAGCGTCCTGTGTTTTTCTATCTCTCATAGCATCACTTTTCTTTTCTGCACATCAGGTCAAAAGTATTTCAGCTATGGCGAGCTCCAAAGATCTTGCCAAAGATCTGAATATATCGGAGGTACCAGCAGCTGATCTCGAATCCGAGAACACTAATCAAGATCCGGGAGAGTGGCTGTACAAATCCGACAGAGCAGAACTCACAGAGCTCACACCAGTCGAAGCCTTCAAATGGAATGTGGAGGGGGACCAGTCACCTTGTAGGTTGACCCATATATCCCAACAGCCGATTTTAACACTTCTTAGTTCCGGAGGTTGCGGCTTGTGTGTCCAACAAAGATGATCCCACCATCGCCTGCAATAGTAAGTCATTGACCTTCTCGGTTTGGCTGAACTAACTCTCCATCACAGCTGTTCGGGCCTGGATATTGATGACCATTTTTGTTATCCTTTTCTCCGGAGTGAATCAATTCTTCGGCCTACGATATGTATGTTTCAATTAACTCCAATTGATATTTACTAACATCTCCTAGCCTTCCCTCGTAATAGGATATGTTGTCGCTCAAATCCTCGTTTTCCCGATTGGAAGAGCATGGGAAAAGCTTCCAAGGTGGAGGGTACCTCTAGGAAAACTTTCGTTCGATGTCAACCCAGGAAAATTTACAATCAAGGAGCACGCGTTCATTGTTATTGTGAGCATAAGCAAAGTTTCACATTCTTATGAATTATATCTAACAAATCAAAACAGTGTGTCAATATCAGTGCTACCACTGCTTACGCGCAAGGTGCCTTGGTAGCGATCGTCAGTCCCGTATATTGGAACCGCGACCTCGGAGCTGGCTTCTCATTCCTGTACCTTTTGACGACCCAGATGATTGGGTACGTGGATCCTGATTTCTCTATCCTATTCAGACACTGATCATTCACAGGTTTGGTCTGACAGGTCTTACCCGCCGTTGGATTGTGTACCCTGCTGCCTTGGTTTGGCCTACTTCACTGTCATCCACTGTTCTTTTCCGAGCACTACATGAGCCAGAAAGCCGTACGTCAGCCAATGGTTGGACTATTACCCGGTATCGCTTCTTTGCCTACATTACGGCATTTGCATTTGTCCTATTCTGGTTCCCCGACTACATCTGGACGAGTTTGAGCGCTTTCGCCTTTGTGACGTGGATTGCGCCTGATAATCAGAAGGTCAACACTATATTCGGAGTAAGCTCGCAGGAATTTTGTCAATAACTACATGAAACTAATCTCGTTTTGCTTAGGTGAATTCCGGATTAGGTCTGATACCTATCAGTATCGACTGGACACAAATAAACTACGCTGGTTACCCCCTGATGACCCCCTTCTACATCACATGCAATGCTTTTGCGGTTGTTGTGTTCTTTTACCTTTTCTTATCGCCGATTCTGTACTACTCTAATGTGTGGTACAGCGCATAGTAAGTTTCCAGTCTGATTGAGGGGATTCCAATATGCTGATGTTGTAGCCTCCCTCTCCTCTCGTCCAGCACTTTCGATAACACGGGACAATCCTACAACGTATCTCGTGTGCTCAACTCAGCCTTGGACTTCAGCGAGAGCAAGTACAAGGAGTACTCTCCCATGTACATCTCAATGTCCTATTCTCTGACCTATGGACTGTCTTTCGCTGCGGTTACTGCAATCGTTGTGCATACATACCTTTACAATGGTACCGAAATTTGGGAAAGGTTTAAGAATGCACGACATGGAGGTGAAGATATTCATCGCCGATTGATGCGCCAATATAAAGAGGTTCCAGAATGGTGGTACGGAATTCTCACGGTGGTGGTGTTGGGGCTTGGGATCTTCACAACCAAATACTGGGATACGGAGCTGCCGGTTTGGGGCTTTATTGTGGTTTGTTTCGGATTGGCAATGCTTCTGATCGTTCCCGAGGGTATTCTGCAAGGAACAACCAACCAGCGCGTGTTCCTCAATATCATAACGGAGATGATTGCCGGATACGCTTGGCCCGGGAAGCCTATCGCTAATCTGATGGTGAAATGCTACGGCTATAATGCAGTGAAACACGGCATGGATTTTGCTCAGGATTTGAAGCTCGGGCAATACATGGTATGCCTGTTTCGTACTCTCCTGGTTGAACTTTGCTGATTATTTAGAAAATTCCTCCGCGTGTTCTGTTCTTTGGCCAGATCTACGCTAGTATTCTTGCGACAGCAACTCAGACTGGAGGTATGATGTTTTGTCAAATCTGTAGTACGTTTTGAGCTGACGACAACAGTCTTACGGTGGATGCTTGGACATATTACTGACCTTTGCGAGCCAACCAACAAACAACGATTCACATGCAACGGTGCTAAAGTGATGTACAATGCTTCCTTGATATGGGGCACCATTGGTCCGCAGCGAATGTTCCAGTCTGGACAAGTGTACAATGGCCTTGTTTACTTCTTCCTTATCGGGGTGAGTTCTCAAACGCTTTGATTTTACTGCAGTTTACTGACTCTCCAGCCCGTTGTTACTGCACTTGTGTACCTTATTTACCGCCGCTACCCCAACAGCTGGGTTCGCTACATCAATGTTCCGATTTTCTTTAATGCGGCGGGTAATATTCCTCCCGCAAACACCAGTATGTCTCTCCAAAGTTTCGTGGTAGAATTATCTCGATCTGACGAAATAGCTCAATACTCCCTCTGGTTCATCTTCGGTTTCATTTTCAACTATATCATCCGCAAGCGTGCATTTGACTGGTGGAAGCGTTACAACTGTGAGATCCTACCTCGTCAAGTTTCCACTCCTGAGAATAAGTCGCTAATTCAAGACGTGGGTAGATTTGCTCCAAGCAGCCATGGATACCGGAACTGCTATTGCGACCATCATCATTTTCTTCGCGTTGGGCTACCACGCTGTCAGTTTCAACTGGTGGGGAAATACAGTGGGATCCAATACGGCCGATTCTAAGTCCGTCCCCTGGCTGACAGTCCCCAAAGGCAGCTTTTTCGGAAAGGGGCCTGGCGAGTTCTGATTGAAAACTTGCAATACGATTGAACCCTACATGGCACGAAACTAGGCTATCACTCCCAAGAAATCAAACCATAAAAACCAAACATGCAAGTCTGGTTTACTCCCAAGTCTTTCAAAGTAGCCGACGATAATGATCTCAAGAAGTTGAAATACCAGAAGAATTTATTGTGCTAATTCTTGTTGGCACAACCCAAGTGAAAAATATAATCCAACGCCAGATTGTTTCTCTGACCTAGTTCGAACAGCCATTTAGCCAAGGGTCCTGTAATAGTTCCTTGGCCGTTTTTCTATCTTCTGGTTTCCATTGAAGCATCCCCTTCATGAATTCCAAGAACATCTCTTTATTTCGGCCACTAAGAAATTGTTCTGAATTGTGCAAGGATGCATCTTTCGGGATCTCAAGATCATTTCTCCAATGCCCTGTAGGATAATATTATAAGCCACATGCAATGAAATTTTTTGTTCATTCCACTATAATCATATTATGGATGACATACCATCTTCAGTGAAGAACTCAGGGCTTCGTGTCCCACGCCTGATTAAAGTCAAAGGAGGCGGGCCCAGAATCGCGATAACTTCGGCAAGATGCGCACGCGTGGAATACCCTTTCCCATCGGGATCGTCGCCAACAAATAAGAGCTTGCCCTCAAATAGGTCCCACGCCTATTTTCTCGTGGTGATTAATTAGTGAACCTAGTATCAGGACATGATAACGCGATAAGAGCTTACCATAACACCAACGTTCCATATATCAATCGGATAGCTCCATTCCGCCTTTAACATGACTTCCGGTGCTCTATAAACATTGGGCTGAGCATTATGGTTTCTTTTTTCGTCTCCTTGCACAGCGGAACCGAAATCACTAAGAACCGCCAAGCCGAAAAACCTAGGCAGATCAAACCGTCGAGAAGCGTAAACTGGCATATCATTAACGAATTTTCGCGGTGAGGGGTGCTCCATCTCGGCTTTGGAAAAGCTATCTAGAATAGACAGATCTTCTATTTCCTGAAGGATATTATCGCTCTTGATATCTGCTAAGGCTGTGAGCGACCTGATATATAAAAATTCTAATATTCATACCTGTATGGACTAGCTTGCATTCCGTATGGAGATAATCAAGCACGAGAAAGACTTGCTTAAGCCCAGCCCTAAGAAGATCTTCCGTAAAGCGATGGGATGGGTTACGATAGAGGAGATCTTCGAAACTCTCCCACATAGGTTTCTGGACAAGACAGTGGTGGCGGTTTCCAAGGTGCGGAATCGTGAATCTGTCTAATGCAGTTCTCACGTGGCTATAGCCAGGATGTGATATATTGCCATTGTTAAGATGCTTATAGATTTCAAACTCTTCTTTATTACTTTCATCGCGTGTATAAAGCTTCAATGTAACATATCGATGCCCCCTGGTACCATTAGTGTTGAAATTTAAGAGATAACTAGCTGAACTTACTCGAGATCATGAGCGAGCCATACTGTGGAAGTGACACCAAATCCAAGTTTACCGATAATCTGATACTTCTGTCGCAGGATATCGCCAATGTTAAGAGGATAATAGTGCCCCTTTTTGAACCCTTCAAACCGTTCTTCTTCGAGGGTTTGCGATGGGCTGATTGTTTCAAACCCGCTAGTTGGAAAGCGAAGAGGAGGTGAAGGGGCTCTTCTAAATACTACCTTGGCCCATTTGATCAGAGAAGCCATGGTTTTGCATTGTAAAACCGAGAAGAGACAATGTTAGTGCTCATTGGATACTGCCTGACCGCCTACGAAGGGGCCGGGCCTTAATGCCTGAAATCTGGCCTGGATTTAGACCGCCGGCACGGAATAACCCGACCCGATAACCCTATGAACACGAAGCTTTTGGCGCCATACAATACAAATTCATGCATCCCATTTTGCCAGGTGGTTTACACTCTCTCCAACATGTACAAAAATAATTAAGCAAGATCTAAATGAACTAATGACAGGAATCAGAGGAAACTACCTAGAAAAGTATATATGACGTAGGGACCGCAGGAGTTGTCGGGAATGATTATATAATCAAGGCCCCTGGTTTCCGGGGTTTGTTCCCCGGAATCCGTTTGTTCTTTATATTAACGTCCAACATGTTTAGGTGTAAGGGCGTTTAATGGGATAGAAGGGATTTCTGGGTCTAATTTGAAGAATGACTTGCATAATACGCAAGATCTCAAATTGAACTCGACGCAGCACGTGTGCCAAGCCAAACGTATATTCAATGGACCCCGCTCAGATTCTGCAAAGAACTAGATTTTGAACCTAAACTGATTTGTTGCAGGATTTTCTTGTTTCTCCAACTGATGATCCAATGGGCACGGCAAATCCCCGAGTGTCAAGCCAATTGCGACAGGATTCTAAGTATATAGAAGTTGATCATACGGCCCGAGAAACGCGCAATTGCGGCGGCGATGTCGTGATACATGAATGGCTCCACCCACCTCGTCACTTCTCTAAAGACAGTATCCGATGCATTTAGGTAGAATAGAACCTGGAGATCAGTGCAGTTTAAGTTAGCTACTCAAAACACCCAGGTTGCCTGTCAACTTTCCAGGCATCTATCGACACTTTAGATATCACTTGCACGCCTGCCAGAAAGCGTTCTGTCTCATCGCATAGATAACCTCATTGGAGACTAGCTGAAATCTTATATCCCCACTGTGTCCATAGAACTCCCTGGGGTTGCGTATGTTGTAGGCCGTGGCTCCTATTATTATTGTGTAATCCTCCACATGGACCGTGCTGCCAGCCAAGCGTGCGGTTTTATAAAACTCTACCTCTTCCCGTCTTTTTATCTATCTTTAACCTTTTGAGTTCGAGAGACCGAGAAAAGTCGACAGCATGGCCTCGCAAAAAGAAGCCGAAGTGTCGGTATCGCCTCCTATCTCATCAACCACCTCATCAGAACGGGATGAGAACTATGAATTTTATAAACAACATCACGGTCTCGAATACACAGCAGAGGAGGCCAAGAAGGTTCTGCGCAAGATCGATATACGCCTCATTCCATCACTGTTCTTAATTTACATGCTGCAGGTGGGAAATTCGCATGTCTCGCTCATTGCAATCCAAGTACTAATCCCATGCAGTATCTGGACAAGAACAGCATCAACTTTGCGTCTGTCTACGGTTTAAAGCAAGGGACACACTTAAAAGGACAACAATACTCATGGCTCAGTGAGTCTTCGGTTCTGGAAACTTATAATGCAAATCACTAATCGGACCAGGCTCCATTTTCTACTTCGGATACCTCATTGCGCAATACCCTGCAGGGCTAGCATTGCAAAAGCTGCCCGTCGGCAAGTTCCTTGCAATTACAACATTAGGTAAGAGATATCCTATGAGGACTAGGAATGTGTACTCAATACTAGAACCATGCTAAGAGAAACAGTATGGGGCGGTTTGCTCATGACGACACCGGCATGCTACAACTTTGCTGGAATCGCAATCAACCGCTTCCTTTTAGGAATGGTCGAAGCAGTTGTAACTCCTGGATTTGTTCTTATGACCGGGATGTGGTACACATCCGAAGAACAACCCCTGCGATTAGCGTCATGGTACTGCACTAACGGTATCGCGACGATGTTCGGAGGGTAAGTGACAACCAACCACCTACCTCTATGAGACTACATTGGAAATCAAGCCTGAAAGCTAATCAATTATAGTCTTATTGGCTATGCGGTCGGACATATCACCACTGGACTTCCACGATGGATGTATGTATTCCTCATTTTTGGAGCTTTCTCCATCGCGACAGGAGTTTTTGCCCTGATACTTCTCCCCGATCTTCCGTCAACTGCCAAATTTCTCAGCGAGCGTGAGCGCGCCATAGCCGTCGAGCGTGTTGCCATCAACCGCCAAGGTGTCAAAAGTAGTCAGTTCAAATGGTATCAAGTCCGACAAGCGGCTCAGGATCCGAAGACCTGGCTTTTGTTCATCATGGCGATTGGTGCACAAGTCCCAAACTCGGCGTTGACCAGTGTATGTCTTCCTATAATCGGATGTAAACGAAGCTAATAACTAAAACAGTTTACTTCCATCATCGTCGGCACTTTCGGATTTGATACGCTCGGAACTCAATATCTTCAGATCCCCGGCGGTGCTGTTCAGTTCGTCTCTCTCCTTCTCGGGGGTTATATTGCAACAAAGTTCGATGGCAAATTCCATTCACGATTTACATGCATGATCTTCGCCTGCACGATCTGTATTCTTGGAGCGGGTCTTCTTGTCGGACTGCCGAGCACTAACAAATGGGGCCGCCTTGTTGCGCTTTGGCTATGCTATTTCCAAGGCTTGGGATTCAGCATGAGTCTGACAATTGTTAGCTCCAACATTGCTGGATACACTAAGAAGCAAGTCACCGGTGCCCTGTTGTTCACTGGATACTGCGTGGGAAACATCATTGGACCTCAGACTTTCAAGTCCAGTGAAGCCCCTGGGTACAGCAGTGCTTATATTGCGTATGTTGCTATTCGTCCTTGTGCAAAAGCTTTGATTGACTGGATTTATACAGGATGCTCGCTGGCTACTCAGTAAAGCTGGCCTGTATCGTCGCTTTGTATATTTACATGTACCTCGAGAACAAGCGTCGGGACCGCGAAGCAATCAATGGCCAGGAGGTTGAGGCAGAAGGTGTTGAAAATGGCATGCTGGTGAGTTTCAAGCGCCATGAAGCCTCGATATAAGCTAACTCATAATCTCCCAAGGACAAAACTGAGATCGACAACAAAGGATTTAGATACGTTCTGTGAACACTACTTACTCTCTATAAATTTGACAACGCTAGAAATAATGATGTTCTTTCGAAATGAAGTTCAGCAATCCAAAACACTGAAAGTCAATTGAAATAACTCAATAACTGACCGACACTTATGGACTTGGAAATGGTTCAACCGTATTAGCTTCGGAAATAGTAGAGATAGAACACGGTTCTGGCCTTTATCTCTACCATCACCAGTGTAAACAAACCTTGACTCTGAGTTTAGGTGTTCACGGGCACTGGCGGCGTAGAGGCTTCACTCTATGGTATGAAGTAGCTCTTTTAGCTCCGGACTTTCATTTAATATCCTTAAACCTGTTCATATTTTGACTAAAGGCATAGACGGCTGAAAATCTCACTGGGGGAACTATTCCCTACTTTACTTGTGTACGTGCTGGGCGTGCTATAACAAGATACAGACTTGTGAATGTGCGGTAGTTATAGATCAGACGAGACACTTTAGATTAATGTTTGTCTAGAGCAAAGACCATCCCTCGAGGCCGTTCCTATTTGGGGTTGCTTATTGCAGTATAAAAGGCATCCTCAGCAATTATCTCTGCTTCCTTCTTCCTTCATACTCTTCATCATCTCATCAAGAACTTATCTTCATCTACCAACTATTCCATCTCCGCTTCAATTCATCAATTTATCTAAGCCCTAAGGGGAGAGTTTATTATGGTATTTTGCCCTATCCTAGTTGGTCTATTGCTTCAAAGGATCAGGCACTAACGATGGCTACACTATCTAGGCTGATCCATATGCCAACCTCCTTGTGTGTGAACCATTGGACTGGTGGGAGGACGTGGAGAACGACATCACTATGAAGACACAAGCCATCCCTACAACTCCTACCGTCCCTATCACCGCCACTGAACTGGTATGTATCCCCAATTCCATCACACATCCTACTGACAGTTGCTACACCATTAGGTCGATAAATATGGCCCTCTTCTTGTTCGGGAACAGTTTGACTGGTGGGAGGACAATGAGGATGACATTTCTATGAAGACCAAAGCCCTCGTCATCCCCACTCCCGACACCGAGAACATGGCTACAGCTTCCATTGGCCCTGCCATCGACAGAAACGTGGTATTTATTCCCACTTCTTTCTCACATATCGACTTCGGAATTATATACTGACAATTGTTACATTATCTAGGACGACAAATATGCCCACCTTCATGAGGACGAACAATTTGATCAATTGGAGGATGTGGAGAATTATATTGCTATGGGCACCGATTTGGCTACAATTCCTAGCAGCCCTGCTACTACTAGCAAACTGGTATCTATCATCCGCTTCCAGCCCATTTTCACACACAGACACTGACAATGGCTACACTATAGGACGACAAGTATTCCAAACTTCCTGTTCATCAAGACTGGTTGGAGGATGGTGAGAATGACATCGCCATGGACACCCAATACCTGGCTATCAATAATGAACATCTTGCTACAACCAACGGCCCCATCATAGCCGTCGAATTGGTATTTATTCCCACTGCCAGCTCCTCCACTTCTTTGGGACCTTATTAACTGACTGCGATATACCTATAGGACGATTCATATTCTCACCTCTTGCACCGCGAGACATCCGACTCGTTCGATAATGCTGAGGCCACTCTCGCCATGGACCATCAGCCTGAGATGGCCGTTACCATGTCGTCCAATGAAATTGTTGACTCCCCGCAGCCAGTCGAACTTAGTCAGTCACTTGATGTCCCAAATTCTGCCTCGACCTCAGAGCAAGTTCAAAATTTACAGCTGGCCAGTCCCCTACAAGAACTTGATGAGTTCGAGTATCGCGCTGAAATTTACAATGGGGATAACACTATTCACCACTGGAACTGGCTGGGCTGGCCAGTCTATACACGAACTGCCACCCCACCAGAAGTCTCACTTGCTTTTATGCAAGCCAGACCGAAAGCACCACGGGGAAGAGATAAGCTCCGTGTGAACTCGATCATGAGTCGTGCAATCGAGTATATTGACCCTGTCATTTTAAAAGTGGACAGAGGGGATGAAGGTCTCTTGCAAATGTATGGGTCTGCAATGATTGAAGCATGCGAAGGTCTCACCTACACTCACTATTCTCTCCACGGAAATTGGATGAGTGATGATTTCTCAATGCGGCGAAGGATCGTTCCTGATGCTGGGGAGTCAGAATTGGAAAGATTTGCAATCGGGCGATTCGCCGTTGCAAATGGCCTTCTTGAAGGTGGACCGTTTATTTCTCGATATGAGTGGTTGGATTGGCGAGATCAACTAGTTGCTGCCAGCAAGGAACCCGTTCGCTCTCCTCGGAAACGCACTTGGAAGCCGACGCCTTCCAAGCTCAAGATCGAGTCGACATCATCCAAGGAGATATCACCACCACGCCGACTCCTCACTTACTCCTCTGCCCCTCTTGAGATCGTGGGCAATACGCAAAAGGCTCGGATCACCACAAAGATGATTCACAGCTCTGTCGTTTTCCCCATTGGAATTATGGGAACCATCATGAAGAAGACCTGGCCTGTGCCTACCACTGTCCCTAATACAGTGTTTTCTCTCCCGCTTGGCAGTATGGGCAATTTCATCGAAAAGCCTTTGGTTACTTTCAGTAACATCCCCCGCGAAATGTTCGTTTCCCCACTTGGAATCATGTGGACAATCATGAAGAGGGCTTTCACACCACACGTGCTTTTACCTGAGACTCTTTCATGATTGTCGGACTAAGGGGGGTTGAGGTTGAGGTTTTTTCTTGGAATGCTGCCACTTTCAAGTGACATTTTAGTCACTTTAGGACTACGGTCCTTTCTATGATTGGTTTCTTTTTGGCTTGCTTTCATATGGTTGGATATCATATGATAGTTTGGCGCTAGATACTTGAAGAATTGAATTTTGTTTACAGGCCATTATTGCTCGCAGCTGATATTGTGATGAGTTCGCACTCTGATTCAGTTCACTGCACTCTGATATTTCTTCACCCATTTGAAAAGGAACTGTTCGAAGTCAAGTGACCTCTCTCCGCTCCCAACAACTACTTTAGTCCCAGCACATAGGTAGTTTCCTTTTCTCTCCTCACGCAATTCACGAGACTTCCAGAGTATCTACGTTTTCATCCGTAGACTTCTTGATTCCATCTCAAACAGGTTATAAGCCCTCGTTCTGGAAGCCTCTGCATCACTGCAAGCTTCAATCCCTTTATTTCCTCCCATTTCGCGAATCGGAATTCCAACCGGCCGAGACTTACATCCCGACCACCACAGTGCGCTTCCATCCTTCCAATTGGTTGACCGCCAACCTTGCTGGCCGTTCGACATTTTGATTTGTCGACCGTCACATTTCTGGCCGTTCTACAAAAACCCAATTTGATCTACTGCCTCGTGTAGTAGGTCACCATCCTTTAGCCCAAAATTTCGGAGAACGTTGATTCAACGACCCCCGAGGGCTCTCCACCAAAGAAAAAGGAGACTCAACCATCTTAGGTGTTTCCTTCTGCCCATAGATTGCTACATAGTACACTATTTATGCTCGAACAAAATATAAAATGAGGATTGTTGCATCAACCCTCAGTACCACCTTCCCGATTAGGCACGACAATGTATTCTGCCATAATTTCTGCCGTATATTCTGCCCACTTCCGGTTTACATAGTAAAAAGTGGTGGAAAATCGATGGTAAGGCGAGTGTATATGTGGCAGAAAACCTCAATAAAATCTTTAACTAACTAAAAATAAAAACAATTGCTCCGAAAATGACAATCTTGTAGACAAACTGTCAGAATCTAGGATGAATACTGTTATTTTTCATTCCTGATACAGTTGGGTCACGTGACTGACCAGGCTGGTATTTCTGCAGAAAAACCAACTCAGGTGGTTTTTCGCCCGAAAAACCAGTCCCGCAGTTTTTCGCCCGAAAAACATCCTTTTATTTTGTTTTATTTGTTTTGATTACTAAGTTGTCCACAAGATTGTCATGTTTTAGGACTATTGTCATTTTTAGAGAGTTAGAGAATTTATTGAGATTTTTCTACTATATATATAATTGCCTTACCACCGTTTTTCTGTTAGTTATAAGCCCGGTATTACTTTAAACTTGACTCTTACAATTTTTTAATATTTTATCCTATTTTAAATATACCATTTAGTTAATATTAAGATACCTAGCTATATATTAGGATACCCCTGAAAATAAGACTCAACCCCGAAAGTAATAATAACTAATTATAATTGGAATTCGTTTAGGACTACGATTTAGATATAATAGTAGACTATTATCCTCTCTCCGCGATACCCTCTCACGTAATTTTAAAGGATTTAACTAATTAGGTACTATAGCTTATAACTATTTAAGCTATTACCTAAATATATAATATTTAGGATTATTATAACCCTAAACTAGAAAAGGAACTAGATCGACTGGTCGCACTAATTATACTAAAATAGGAAGATATTAAGAAGGAGTATAGAAATGACTGGTATAACGTCTTTAATATTCTAAACAGTAAATACTAAGAAAAGAAGACTACCTATAATAGGGGTCTCTAAGGATTTAATATAGTGGTAAATGCTATTAAATCAAACGTTCTCCTATCTTATTAGGTATTCCTAACTTAGGATTCTCCCTAGGTACTACTTCGAAATTTGCAATAGCGCTATACTCCTAAGTATAACCCTATATATAGATCGAATCTAAGAGTAGAATAGAATAATCTAGACTAAGGTCTAGACTAGAATATAAATATCGAAAAATAGTTACTAAAATGGGAAACTCTATATACTTATTATATTATAGCTAAAGTTAGTAAAGTAAAAGATATAGTAATATAGTTCCTATAAGTAATTATAACTATCTTATTAGAATTCTTTACTATAAGACTTAGAGATATATAGTAAAGTCTATCCTAAGAAAAGATATAATAAGAAAGAACTATTAAGTTTAGTAAGCTATTATCTTACTATAAGACTTAATAGGATAGTATTATTAGTAGATAAGCTATATAAAAAGGTATATTAAAAGCTGTTTTCTCGACCTAGTAAGGATATTAAGAAGCCTAGCTAATATCTACTAATAAGAATAGTAGAACTAGAAATAGTAAATAAGTTAAATCTATAAACGATATACTATTCTTTAGAAGAAAATATCTCTATAGATATAGTAGTAAATATAACTACCTAGTGTAGAAATACTAGGGGGCCTACCTAAATCTTATTCTAGAAGGGTATACCTAAGACCTAGAATATAAGAAGGCCTAGGATAAAGTAATAAAAGAGGATCCTATATAGAAAGTATTTATTAATAAAAGATATAAAGAACTAGGAATAGTACCTAAAAAGAATAGAAGTTAGTAAGTAAATACTATAATATAAAGCGAAGAACTAGGATTTTTTATAATAGAAGAAGAAATACTAGATACTATCTTCTAAACCTATAAGACTATACTAATAAATAAAAGATAGCTAGTTAATATAGGTATATAAGTTTATATTTATAACGATCGCAACCTCTTTTGTTGAAATCCACACTTGGTTTTCTAACTGCCAAGGCTTGGGATTCAATGACGTTATCAGGCAGGCTGTATTCTCGGCCGGAAAAGCATCTTTCCGGCCCGTTCCCTAACACCAACCCTACCCCGATTGATTGTTGTTGTGCGTTTCCAATATTATTGGAACCATACCTGAGAGAAGCGAGATTATCCCCTTTTGTATATAAAAGTCTATAACACACATAGCTTGTAGACTTTGAGAGCAACTTTTATTCTAATTATATACTTTATACTTTTGGATACCTTCCTTTAAATTATCTGGTTATATACAGTATTCTAACTCATACTTATAATATTTTAACAGGTTATGAGCCCGGCATAGTTCAACTAGCTGGGATTCTGTATATCAATTTAGTTTATTGCAATTAATTGATCCCACTGCTTACCCCCTGAGTAACCAGAGAGATCTTATCTCAAACACCCTTTCTTTTTATCCTTACTTTAAATTCATAAAATGGTGAATATACGAAGTAGTTCTACACTACCCGGCCACTGGGCAGGTATACCTCCCCCGCCCTAGGCTCAGGAGGATGATAAAGAATTAGATGGTAAAGTAACCGCCGGATTCGAGGATGCCGATTAAAGCTATAGCCATGGCTAAGATCAGTATAATCCCACGGTGTAATTAAATACTAATCTAGAGTCGACCTAGATTAGTAACAATCCTACCAATACATTTCTTTAACGTATCATAGATCGCCTAGATCATATTAAATATAGGACTGCCGCCCATACCGCCGGTAGAATCTCCTAGTCTATCGAGAGAGACCCAACTGTTCCACTAAGAGTAGCATAAAGCGCGCCCCTTTTAGGGATATATACCCCAGTATCTTCGGCCTATAAAGCCCTAGGAAGAACCCTAGATCCGGTATAGGCCACAGCACCCAACTAAGTACCGACGTTTTACAATCCTCTGAATAAGCCACCCTCCGACTAACTAAGAGGGTAAAGAGAGCAGAGCGCGTTGAATTTCATATACTAATAAACTATTCTATAAAGCGCTAAGCAAGTAATAGCGAGCGCGCTCAAATACCTTTCTTTCTATAATCGAATGTTAAAAAGTAGATAAAAGAAGACCTTTGATAAGCTAGCCACACCGCTTATAGGTAAGTCTAATTTCAAGAACTAGGTAGTGAATATCACCTAGATATTGGACCAGAATCTCCTCCTCTAGATTATCGACGGCTCTATAGGCTCCCTACTAGCCGATTATAAACGATGGTATAATCTTAAAGTACTGAAAGTTAATGCACAATTACTCCTAATACAGAATATAAGCCCTAAAATTAATAAGACAATACCCTAGTCTAAAGAACTAGAACCGGAGAAGATATAGACTTTATTAATAGAGTAATATAAAACCGATGAGCTATACGTAGCTTAGGAAGCGGTATATGCTATTAAGAAGATATCCTACGCTAAGACTTAGTCCGTAAGTACCTTGATTGCCAATTTTAAAACCAATTAGGATAAGAAAACACTGCTACAGAAAGATCCCGAGCTTACCACAGAGCGTATAGCCGAGATCGAAAAGTGTCTTAAGCTACTAAGTTATATTGAGGGCCCCGAATGGTACCCTTGGCTAGTAAGCCACAAAGCCTTATTAGCGAAAATAACCAATCCTACAGACTACTACTACTTTGATAATCTATATAGCTAGTTAGAGAGGGTGGAAGCTCTCTAACTAGCTAATCGACAGTCGACGTTAACGTATACGACCGGCCAGTTGCTAGCGCCAGCCCCAAGGGAACACTCTATGAGTAAGGGGTGCAGTAGGAAAGGTAAAACCAGCCAGCGTAACACAAGCAATAAACCGTGCGGTTATTATAAATTAACTAATCACCTAGAAGCAGACTGCTATAAGAAGGAAAGAGATGAACTAAAGAAAGCTTCATCATCTAACGCCAGAGTAACAGAGGTGTTTTCTACCCAGGTTTTACATATAGTTCCGGCCAACGGCCCAGCTATACAGCTAGTGAGCAAGCGCTCAAAGAAGCGCGCTAGTATCAAGTGTAGTAAGACTGCCAAGATGGCCGCTAAGCCGGCTGCCTATAAGGCCGCCGAGTAGGCCGCCCATAAGGTCGCCGAGTAGGCCGCCTAATACTAAGCATCCAACCTAGTGGTCAATATACCGATCTAAGCATTCTATATACAGTCTCAACCACTGGATATAAAGA